AAAAATGACATTATTTATAATGAATAATCTGCTTCTGCTGTACAGCATGTATCACAAGAGCAAAATTTGTCCATGGCTACATGTTGTTCAAAATGCCCTTTGGAAAGTGTTTCAGTAGCAATTTGGATGAAACATACATACAAACTGAAATGCATAACATTTAGTCATGTGTACAAGGGCAAGAATTTGAATTTGAAATGGATACAGACAAAGTATCCAGTCTTAAAGAAAGACAGAAAAAAAACAAAGTTGATGGAAAGTGTAAACAAACTTACATCTCTCATATGATTTGTAAAGTGCATGAGGCAAAAGGTTCAAAATTTTCTAAGAATTGGATCATTCCATAGTTGTATTCATGTTGTGCAACAGCAGTGGCAATGACGACAGTGGCGATGACGCTGCCACCGCCGCCTCGTTGATCATCTGGAATTGAAGACCCATCAACTGAAGCAGCATGCTGTGGGAACAATCTGACAAACACCTGTGGATGAAGACTCTCAAACAACATGGCAGGTGTAGTACATCACCTCATTGCTTTACATATGGGTGTGTACAGTGATTCCTTAATAGAAACAGTTATTGCTCTATTGTGACAGTATTCATTAGTGATACTGCAAGTGCAATCCATACAGACCCAGCTCAATAATAATGATTCAGACACTGGTCTTAATAGTTTTCACCCACATGGTTCAGCTCTACACTATAGAGACACAGTTGTATGTAATGAGTTGCTGCAAATAGACATTGAATGAGTAATGAAGGTTGTGAGCTCTTAAGAATGGCTATTTGCATCTCTCTTCAAATGGACATCAGTCCAGATCAGCAGAATGAAGACAGAAGTCTGTAGCTGTTCAGTGCATCCTGAATGAATATCCATGCAAAATTTGGCATGCTTTTATTGGAGTGGTGTAGCCTGAAAAAACTGGGAGCAGAAAGTCTCCTGGAAACTGCAGTAAAAACCTGTCATTCAACCAGCATATTGTCTGAGATGTTAATTTGGATTAAACCAACCAGTGAAGTTGCTAATACTGGATACACAATGGAATCTGGAACCTACATGAGGACCATGCTGTTCATGGTTTAATAACATTTTGGTATTCTTGTTATTGATCAGATATGGCAGTTCACTTGGCCCTTGAATTAATGGCTGAATTGAGACAGTGGTTGAGCACTGTCACTGATTTACTTGAGGTATTTTTGAACACTTTTTTCAAAGAAGAAAATTTTGCTTGACCTTCTCTAGATATGCAGAGATCTTCCTGCATATTTCATGGTATGTTTTGCTGAACACAAAAGAACTCTTCCTGCCCCACCCTGCATAACTCATTTGGATATATTTGACTAATACAACCAAGGAAAAAAACATGAAAGGCATGCTGCAAATGGTCCAAGTAAGATACAGGACTCATCATCGCAGCAAGTTATATTAATGGGACTGATGACAGACATAACACTTGCACTTCAAGAACTACAGAAAGTATTACAAAAGACTACTCTGGTACATTGTGATGTATTAACTGTGAGAAATAATGCTGTCCAGATGGTTAATATCATTGGCAGTGGTCCTCTACAAAATGGAGAGGAGGAAAAATTCATATATTTCAAAAACAGCGATGAAAATGACATAACAGCAAATGAGGATGAGGAATGATAACATTATATTAAATATTGAAGAGGATAATAGCTATTTCAAGTTTGTCTTCTTTAATGTAAACTTCAGTTCCTCAAGAAATGATTGCATTGATTTTCAGGAAAGACGCTATGTCCAAATGCATTTTAAGTGTGCATGATAATTTGCCATTAATTAAGGAAGTACTAGAAATAGATGGATTATGGCACAAAATGCTCGAATAAAGTGCAGAAGTTCCTTTGTGTAGGTCAGACGTGTTAAGAAATTGCTTGTCCCAGTATTATTAACATCACTCCATCGCTGACCGCAGAATATCCTGTTATAAGATAATAAAATCACCTCTTTGAATATCTCTAACAAAAGAATTCATGAACTCTAGGCTGTTGTATCACTGAATGGTGTAGGAACAGATAATTACAAAGCACATCCTGATGTAGCAGACTTCTTGCAAAGAAGGGAGAGAAGACAGAGAACCGGACATCACAGCATGCAAAGAAAGAGATTTGGTTAAAAATTCTTCAGAGAGACTAGGGCTTCTTTAGGCCTTTGAATATTATAGGTTTTTTTTTTTTTTTGACCAGTTCAAAGCTCTGTGCTTCATGGCGACTGGTGCACAGCTGGCTGTGAGGTGCATACGCAATTTGGTAATGAACCACCATGCCTGATGGCTGATAACATTTGGAATGAAGAGAAGTAATTAATTTGTGCACCATTTGACAGCATTGTTTCACGGCAAGCAGTGTGGTTGATGCGCGGGATATTTTATGATTTGTCAGCAGTAAGGAGCAGTTATCAGCTCCATTAGCCATTTGTTCTCAGTTACAGTCAGTGAGCAGTGCAGTGTATTTCTGTATGACACCTATCTAAGATGGACCATGGTAGCGTAGTTGGTTGAGGTACTATGCTACAAGCTGGAAGGTCGCGGGTTCAAGTCCTGATGAGGTCATTGGATTTTTTCAGTTAACCTAATCCTTCCAGCTGCACTATGGCCCTGGGGTCGACTCAGTCTCTAACAGAAATGAGTACTAGGAATTAATTAAATAATCCTCCTGGGGAGTAAAGTGTAGCCGGTGTGTAAGGCTGACAAGCTTACCATCTTTGAGCCAACTGTCTAGAAAATGTGGGTCCCTCAATGTCTCACAACCCTATGGGCCTTCACGGCCTGCTACAGGGATAGCTTTATTTTACTTTTTTACTTACCCGTCTAAAATACAGATCTACTAGAGACTGTTGGGAAAAATTTTGACATAAATTTCATGATGAAAGTTCCAAGCAGACATACATTTCACAATTTGGTGAACAAACTTAGAACTGGACTCTTAATAGACAAGAAACAAAAACATAGGCATCAAGTGCTTACTGAGAAGTTAAATGATTTAGGGGCCAGACTTGAACATACACCTAGAAAATCACTGAAACATCTAGCTCAAGAGACTGGAGTGTCAAAGTCTAATGCAAGAATGACAACACAATTACTGAAGCTTAGACCCTATAAAACAACAATAATCCATGCACGCCTTGTAGCCATGTGATCCAGCTAGCAGGGTTCATTTTTTAATTGGTTTCTACAGTCTGTCATTGAAAGTGAGATCAACCCGCAATCAACATTCTTTTCTGATGAAGCATGGTTTTACTTGCAGTGATTCATAAATATGCAAAATAATCGCTCTTGGAGTCCACAGAATCCACATCTAACCCATGAAGCCCTGCACCATCCAGTGTAAGTTGGTTTCTGGTGTGCTGTAAGTGCAAGGATTGTTGTACCTGTGTTTTTTAATGAAAAAAATAGTTGTGAAAGATATCTATGTGTAGAACTCCTGTGAACTGTAACTACTTCATTCCAAACATTATCGGCTGGCTGATTCATCAGCAAAATCCTTATATGTCTTGTGGCACTCTGGTCGCCATGAAGTGCAGAATCATGGAACTGGTCAACAAAGTAAAAATCTTCTGTATATGACCATCTGTTATGTCCTAATAATGTTTTAACATATAATACTCATACATAAATATGTACTGATATTAAAGCAATTTTATTGTTTCTTTTCCAAAATGTGATGCTTAAATATACTGATAATATTAATAAATTAAATTTAATTAATGTTAATACGTTAACATCCAATTTATTCTGTATGTAGGCATTACATGTCCAGCATAGGTTAACATATCCACTTTGTAGCACTGCATGTCCATTTGGGCATAGAACTGTTTAAAAATGGCCTGAATAGTGGTAGCATTAGTTTGTACATCTTATTTTACACGTACTTTTCAAAATTAAATTTTCCAATTAGAATTCAAGGGAAACATAACCATCTTTAAAATTCCTACTGCGTATTAATTCATTCATTGTTTACTCCAGTCTATTAGGATGTGTGTGAAGCTTTTGTTAAAGATGGTTGCAACCACTGTATGTTTGTTACTAATGTGGAGTCACTCTTATTATTTCAGTATATCCATCTCTTTGTGTGTAAGGGTATGAGGATAAAGATTCTCTGCACATTTTTAACCTCATCAAATTACATATAGTATATAGTTAGACAAGTGGAACAAACTAATATTTTCAGTCTCACAAAATATTTCTGTAAATCTAGTTCTTTTCATCAAAGGAAATCTAAGTTGAAGGATACTCAGAGCAGAGGTTCGTGAACTTACAAGCAGTGTCATCGTCACTGTCATCATCACAACCGCATTTTTCATAAATCAGTAAATGCTTTACAAAGTGTTATTCTACAGTATGTAAGGAAATATTTACAATACCAAAGTTGTTATACGAACATGGAAATTGTTTTTATTTGGCATTGCAACTAGTAAAATTTTGAGAATCAAAATACAGATACTCCTTGTTTTATGCAAGTTCAGAAAATGTGATCACATTTTAATGCCTTCAACTAATTTAGACCAATTTTGATCAGGAGCACTCACTTTAATGCAGACTACTTGCTGGCCAATTAGGAAAGGCAGGGAGAAGAGGGAGTGTGAATAGCAGAGGAGGAATGCATGGGGAGAAGGGGAAATTTGACCTAGCCACATCACCTCTTCTGTGCAACTACTACTATCACCCCTCTTTGAGAGGATAAGGAAACTTTCAGTATAGTATTTCCTTATGAACAGTTTATGCTATTTCTCCTGCAATTTAACTGCCACATGAATCAAGAGTACCTATACTTAAGTAAAATGTGACAAGATAGTGAAGCAAACCATTACTGCAGTGGGGAAATACATGTGCACAGTGACATGTTTCTTTAGTATGCAAGGACATATTCTTTCAAGGCAGCTTTTATTAAGATATTGGGAATTAGCAATAAAGATAAGTTATAGGAAAGATATAGGGCAGGTGAGTTCCTTTTATATATTATTAAATAAACAACAGTTTCATTTTTCCCATTTTGCATATATTTCCATCGAACGGCGCTACACGAGTTTTATCACAAAATTTTAAGGCACTTCTTCAGTGCAACAATGAATGATATTATCGCAAGGTGATGATCCAATGATTTTCTCTCTCAGAAATTATGCATTGACAACATAGTACAGTATTGGCTTAGCCCTGCCTCTCAAGATTCGTTTCAATCACTTGAAGCGACAATGGAATGTGTCCCTGCCAGTTTGCTCGTTACAGTTTATCATGTGGCATCCTGTAGGATACCCTAATGTAATGCCACAGGGAGATGGAGAGAGAAGTTTCAAAAGGACAAAAAAAGGCTTGCTACATTTAAGTACTAGGAGCATCATGAAACTGTGTTATTCTGTATAACTGTCAGCATACATACTATTTTAATTTCGTAAGGTACACAGATGTATTTATGCATTTCTGGACGTTAACAAGATTTACTGTTTTTTTTAACCTATTATTCGTGTTTAAACTAGCTATGAGCTACACATTTTAACACCACGTTCATAAAACTAGGGAAGCATTTGCAGCTAAGATTATAAGGCACAAACAAGGATGGTTTTCCGACTGTTTTTGACTGACAATTTTGCTTCAGTAGCAGGAAGGCAACCCAGTATCAATTATTATGTATGATATTCTAAAACTTAACATGTCTTCACTTGCATAAAAACAATAAAAAGAAAAGTCACCATTGCGACGTCTTTTTCGCTAATTTTGGGTTTAAATACATGTAATTCCACTTTGGTGTGAACATCAAAAATATAGTACAATGTCAAAGCTCTTGCTTAGCAGCAGGTATTGAAATGACTATTGATACTGCAGTCGGAGCATCACCTCGTCAAACTTAACATAAAGTACAGTGATGTGCACCCATCCTTTGAAACAGTGAAATGATATTAGGTTGCCGGTCCCAGAGACCTAACAAACTAAGGAATATGCAATGCACATTAATTTCTATCATAAGAATACGTTATTCTTCTCGAAGTGCATACAATACTTGAAGACATATTACATGGTGGAACCATTACACTTAATGGTAAACAATTCAAAACAAACTGAAATTCATATGCTCCACAACAACCAAAACCACATTCACATGGAATCTCAAACTACTGTATGCCCCTCTAAATAAAACTTATATAAATTATGACAGAAAGAAAAAAGAACAAATGATGGAACCATCTGCAATTAGTGTTTTAATAATAAAAAAAAAATGCTTACAGCAACATTTCTTAGTCCCAAAGATGAGATGCCCAACAAACAGCGACAATTCCGTAGTTTGATATCTATGAAACAGACTACTGTAAGGCCTACACTAATGGTACATTACACACATATTTTATGGAACCATGACAAATCTACCCCTCGATCTAAAAATAAACTAATGCTTATGATAACGATTTCGAAACGACGATTACCAGGCAACGATATAAAGATGCACCGGACCTTTCTTCTAGACTACTCGATCAAAGTTAACTCTGGTTAATGATCAAGAATGCGGGTGGACGAACGGTTATTCGGCAGATTCACGAATATTGTTTCGATCAAGAGAAGGAATGGATGCGAGAACATTTACGCTTCGATATCGATCGTCGAAAACGAATCTCCAAAACCTTTCGAAAGTTGGAGGGAAGAATAACGAAGAAAATAAAGTAACTGACGAATAAAAAGATAGTTATTCTATATTTTATGCATACATACACACGCATTGGTTAGCCATTTGTCTTCTACCTAGTTAGGCCTTGTAATTTCGCACTTTGAGATCAACTGCTATACACATGAACGATAAGGACACGTAAATCGATAATATTTTAATTCCTTACAAAAAGTTATCGAGCATCATGGTAAAAAATAAGCAAAGCTCTCTAAATTAAACGATCATCTTTGCTTATATCAACACTTTCCCCATTATAAGAATATTTTCATCTATGTAAGTTGTACTTGCACCTAACCAAGATGCTTTGCTAATAAATGCCCCATTTTTCCTATTATTTTTATGCCAGTTCTGGGCCTTACAAAAGTTTGTTCTCTTCACATTATTACAATGCATATGATGGACTGTGTTAACAGATCAGTGAAGCCAGCAGTACACTTACCAAATATTTTGCATCAACATCATATATTCCCATTGTTAGGTTTACAATAACTCAAGGAACGCTATGTTCTCAGACTTCTTATGGGAAAGAGAAACAAGGATACTAGAATGGAATACAGCAAACCTGTGAGTCAAACTGCTGGAATACCTTTTATAGTTTGCCACATTTTGTAATGACAATGGTTTTGGTTGGTTTACCCGTCTGGTCTCCAAAGGTAGAAATTTTCTCTACCAGATCAAGGCCTTCAACAACGTGACCAAAGATCCCAGTAAAGCCTCTCATCTCCTGCAAAATGATGCGAAATTGAGAACCAACCATTCCTAGGTTGTCATGACGCTTCTGAGTGCGCCTCATTCCCACAGCACCGCGCACTGCAGGGAACTTAGTGTCATCAGGCATGAAGTAGCCATCCTCATAGATGGATCTTCCACCTCGTCCATTGTTGAGCTCAAAATCTCCTGTGATGACTGATTCTCCTTCCCAACATTGGAAAACAGCACAGCCCTTGTAGCTAACACCCATCTCCCCTGTACAGAGCACACCAAAGTTCTTGGCCATCTTTGGAGCTGCATCAGGACGAACTTCAATAACAATGCGTCCATGAGGAGAGCCGTTAACATCAATGCTGAAAAAGTAGAGTGGATATGGGTTTGGCTGACTACGGACATTGATAGTCATGACTGGTTGGGGAGGAGACTGGACTTGGACTGCCACGACTCCTGGTTCTTGTCCATAGGGGGGAGGAGGTGGTGGTTGTGCATGATGGACTGCAGGAGGAAGGGCAGGTGGAGGTTTGTTGCCAACAGATGAGGGGGCAGGAGCAGCAACAACAATGTGTTGAGGTGGTGGAGGATGTGGTGGGGTAACAAGATGATGAGGTATTTGATGCACTGGAGGGTGGTGATATTCCACAGTTCCATTCTGCTGCAAGTGATGCTGCTTTGTCAAAACATGTCGGGAATACAACTGTGACATGCAATAATTGGCCAGGAAGAGGATAGGATTCTGGGCAGCAGCTACATGGTGGGGATGCCGACCTGGACCACCCTGTGGTGCAGGAGGCTCCCCTGAATGAATATTAGCCAGAGCTTGTTTCAGCAGGCCAAAGTCAAACACCACTCCAGAATTACCAATCAAATCATCCAGCTGGCACTGCAGGTACATCTCTTGATACTTTCCTTGAAGTCGCTGCTTCTCTAGAGAGAGAGATGAATAGAGAACATGAGCATCACCAGGACCATCTACACCAGCAAGGCCAGCCCGTGCCTTGCTCAGTGTCTCACGTGCCTCTGTCACTTCTGGTTGATGGCTCCAACCATTTTGAAGATCTGTCTCAACATGTGTCTTGAGAGTGACACAAGCCTCCAGGACTTTAAGCAAGAAGTCCCGTTGCTGCATTGCCAAACGTTGGATTTCAGACAGCATCTTACCCATTGCAACGAGTTCTAACTGAACCTGTAACACATAAGCACTCAATGAAGATTTAGTTCACAGTGAACAAAAATCTGTCAAGCCACACTTCTAACTAGGGCTTTTTGTAGTTTCTGTCAGTTCCTGCAGCCAAATACCAGGGCAGTACTTCAAATGAGACCACAACTGCTTTCTTCCAGATTCTTTCAAATTCATTATTCACTAATCAACCTAACTTTTGACATGCCACAACTATAGCAATTGAAACGGTCATTAAGTAAACCAAGAATAAACAGAAAATAACACTGCATTATATTCCTTTCTCAGAAAATTGGGTGCATTTCTATCATATACAGTGTGACTGAGTGCTACCTGAAAATCATTTGACTACTTGGGCAGAAGAAACAGAAGCTCCTTAATTCAGGCAGCATGGATTTGGAGTGGTAGCAGACTCAACAAACCAGAAGCTTATACACACATTACAATACCTGTTCAATATAACTCCAATAAACCAATGAACAGAACATAAAACAAGATTATTCATTATGTGCTAGCTGACTACTGTTGTCTTATAAGGTTTGAATTCCAGGAGTTTTGTGCTCATGTTTTTGAAACCACAGTCTCCCATGCAAGCCTTGTGAGGGGTTTCTCAGAAGAATGTTCAAGCCTACCACTGATATCATTCAAGTTTTGTTCAGCATTTTGATTCAGTTACCCCCCCCCTCCCATAAGTCTTGATTTATTTTCATCTGCATGAATATCTTTTCATTTACAAACTACAGCATCCTGAAATCTTCTCTTTACTCTTCTTACACAACACTTTTTACACACATTCATTCAAGTGTGTATCACAAGTGTCATATAGCATAAATAGGACTGATTGAAAGTTTGTAGGGGCTTGAATTATGGCTGACCAGCATATAACAAATGTGCTCATTTCACTGCAGGTGTTCAATAATTTACTGGAATGATATCAAAAGGAAACTGTAAAGTGTATAGGCTCTGTCAGGTCCACTACCAGTCCAAATCTGTGCATTATGAGTTGATATGAGTAGCCATTGTCTCTCCCACTTCAGCAGGCAAACAGTTTTAGGGTAGCTCTCGGCCAATCACATTGTATGAACATTTTATTACTGAACACAACAAAAATTAACCTGATTATGTTACATACATATAAACTCATCTAATTTTCATCAAAAAGTGGAACACAATTGGTAATGGAAGTTAATGGAGAGGAGACATTTATACTGTAAAGACAACTACATTTCCATTAGATCTGGAAGGCATGAACTGAAAACCTGATTATTTGTACCAGTTCTAGTTCAGTCTCATCCCAACTCATGTGCAAGGAAATGAATTCAAAGAGAGGTTACAACATCTACATAGACATAGACAAGAACTGAGAAATGTGGAGACAATTAGAAAATTCATTCATAAAATACATATGACAAGTGTTAACCTCTGAGACGAGCTGTTCTTTGGCTTCCCCCTGAGATTTGACCTGATGACCTGGATGATCCTGCTGTGTTGCGCATGCCCGACAGATGGCAGCACAACATGTATGACACCATAACGCCAATGGCATCCCATGTGTATGGCAATTCTCACTTGGCAATACCTGGCAAAGAAGGGTCACAATGTGTTTTCTTAATTAAAAAGAGAAACATGCATGCTCACCATTTACCAGTTCTCTCTCTCACTCACACTCACACACACACACACAGCCATTATAATGTCTGTAAATTTAAAGAGTTACACTAATAACTATTACTACAGTCACACAAATGAAACTGTAACATTCATGGTGGTGATTTTTCATGTATTTTAAAACTTCACTCTTTATTTCACAAAGAGAAAAACAAATCCATATGTACGAGGGGGTACCCAAAAGAAACCGAACTTATTTTTTTTAAAACTTATTTATTCAAATTTTAAGCACAAACCTTCAATCCCCTTCAAAGTACTCTCCACTTACACTAATACACTTGTCTAGTCTTTTATTCCATTTTTCAAAACATTGTCTAAATTCATCTTTTGAGATGCTTGAGAGCGCCTTCGTTGTTTTTTCCTTCACCTCAGCAACATCAGCAAAACGCTTTCCTTTCATGTCTCTTTTCATTCGAGGAAACAAAAAAAAGTTTTGATCATTTCGGGACTCTTCTTTCAAAGCACGACATGCTTCCACGCGACCTTGTTTTTGTTCAGCAGTCAGCAGTCGTGGCACGAATTTCGCAGCCACCCTTTTCATTCCCAAATCTTCTGTCAAAATTCGCTGAACTGAGCTCCAAGTCACTCCCGACAGCTCCACAATTTCTTCAATGGTCCGTCGTCGATCTTCCTTGATGATTTCACGAATTTTTTCAACATTTTCATGTGTTCGGGCCATGGAAAAAACGACGATCACACAAAACAGTTGTCACTATAAACTCTGCCGAAACTAGTCCTTACCTTCTGAAGCAACGGTAGTCGGCTTATCGACTCAGGAATGTTAGCTCTATGCGCTCATAGCGGCAAAACGCGGTACTACAAAAGCTCTGCCCACAAAAAAATTAGTTCGGTTTCTTTTGGGTACCCCATCGTATATAAACATTCAGGCTGAAAATTCTGTTGATATGTAGAAGTCATTATTTTGCCTGTTGCATCTACCTTTTCTGAAAGCACCTATACTAAATCTTACTGACTCTCCAAAATTTTGCATGGTTATGACTACAGCATATGTTAAATAATTCAGAAGATGGTGACCCTCCTTAGAGTAGGTTACGACACACAGTTTGAAAAATCATAGGCTAATAATGTATAAGTAGATCAATGGAAGGGTGATTTGTGGAAGCTGTAGATGGAGATAGGAATTGTCAAGTTTTCCAACTGAAGATTGAATGGGCTTCCATATCTATGCTTCAGTTGGTACTGTAGTCTCAACCTTTTCGAAACGATTTTTCTGTAGATAGTGGTACCAGTTATTCTGTTAAGATGTTTCCCAGAATAAGTCCATAGTGTGCATACTAAGTGAAATCATGATTTCACCCCAAGTGTCCCTGAATTGCTGTAACATGTAAGTGGATCAACAGAAGGCTTATATGTGGAAACTGTAGCTAGACATACAAGCTCTCATAGTCTTCTGATGTACTTCCAACAGGCTTTGCACTAATATAAATAATGTAACCAGCATGTTGCATTTAATTTTTTATTTTATTTTACAAGTATTCATTCACATACAGTTTTGTAATTATTTGCCTCCTATTTGGTGAACAACATAGAAAACTCTTTTTTAAGTTTTTGGATCTAGAGTATAACCAAAAGAAACTCATAATTCTCCCTTCATTAAAAATAATGTAATAGTGGTGGTAGCAGTTTTAATATCCTCATAAATTGCAATGATAAGAATTTGACAGCATCTTAAATTGTGTGTAATACTTCCAGTACATAACGATATTTCAATGACTGTACCATTGGAAGCACCCAATATTCATGCAAAATAAATATAATTAAATCATAAATATTGATTTAGGTTATGATTAAATAGCAACAATCACTATCCTCACAAGGTATGTGCTCTGTCACCATGCTAATGGTTGGCTTCACCTCGGTTTTTTTTTAATACTCATATCAAAATGTGGGGTTAACATTTGCCTTGTTGACATTAAACATTTAATGTTCAGTGAATTTATACACTGCACTCTTTCCCACGGGTTTATATCCCAAAATAAGGCCGCCTCTGTATGTACATTTATGTTTATATGAATGTTAATCTTCTGTATCAGGTTCAGTATGCACTGTTCTTACAGTACCATACATAAACATACAATGGTCTGCCTGAACAGGGACAAGAACCCTGATAGTCATATGCTGATAGCATTAGTCTGCCAAGTTAGAGTGGACTGAATGTGATGTACCAGATTTGATACACAAGGTGGTTTGTCTGAGAATCTATTGAGCCAATCCTCACATGCTTCTCTCATCAATTCTTTGCACATGTGACCGGACCCACAATGAAATCAGCAAGCCCACAGGCCAACAAATCATGAAAAAAACCCACCCATATCACAGCAGATGACAGAAATAATTCCTGTCATTGTGCATGCATTCCTTGTACCTCCACAAGAAAGTTCATATTCACATGAAGTTCCTTTTTGGAAATAGGGCAAACTTGAAACTTTAGACCCCCATCTCCTGTGCAAGATATCTGAAGGATTTTCAAGGGGAATGTTCAAGCCTAACACCAGTTTCATCCAGCTTCTCTTCAGTGAGTGCTCACAATTTTTATTCAGTTCCTTCTTGTCCAGTAACAACCCTACTTAAATTTACTTAGTTCAAAAGAAATAATTTTTTATTTGAAACTGTAATGTCTTGAAATCTATGCTGGAATCCTTTCCTTAGTTTTCACATGGCTATTGTACAGGAATAGTTGTTTCAAAGCGTGATTGTCACATGGCATTTCAACATTAACACAAATGAGTGAATGTTAATAGAGTGGCAAGGGCTTGAGATTATAGCCACCAGGCATACAGTAGCTGATTTCACTGTAGCTGTTCAGTAATATACTGGGACAATATCAGAGAGAAACTGCAGTGTGTATAGACTGTTTAAACAAATTTAAGATTGTGTGAAGGTTTTTTTTTTTTCTATCTGGAATTGTAATGTCTAGAAATGTATGCTGGAATCTTTTTCCTACTTCTGTATGAATACTGTACATGAACACCCATTTCTTTGTGTAATTCTCACGTGACATTTTGACACAAAAGTAATATGACTGATTGAATGTTTAATACAGTAAAGCAAAGGGCTTGGGATTTTGGTTGACAGGTATGTAACACATTAGTCAGCTCACTTCATGGTAGCTGTTCAGAGATTTGTTCAGATGATACTGAAAAGAAACTAAAACGTTTATAAGCTATTGGCCTGTCCACTACACCATGAGTCTGAACATACATTATGCAAATCATTGCTAGTACACTGTCCCTTCTGCTGGACCAGCCAAAAGATTGCAGGAGGCTTTCAGATAATCTCCCTCTACACACACTTTCATGAGACTTATAACTTACTAATGTTATAGTTTCTCTGGTATGATTAGGTTGGTTGCATCAAAGAAACTGTATTTCATTGCAAGTAGTAGTTTGCAGTATAGATGTATAGCGGCTATATTAGAGAGAGAAGTAAAATATTTTCAGTCTCCTACAAGCAGCCATGGTCATGACAATTTAGATTCAGAGCTAAAAAAATTGCAGCCACGATTTTGGTTACGGATTGTTTCAGATACTTGACGATGTCATTAATAGTTAAATTATCCTTGTGCATAAATGTAACATGTGGAGGTATCATTTCACATATTTTCAGATCTCAACACTACTGTCAACAAGTGAGGACAATGCCCCTGATAAAGAAGATTGTAGGGAGTAGCAGTATATAGTATTAAATGGCCTAGCTTAATACACATTTCAGTTATCACAGTTTACATTATCATTGTGTATTAAATTTTGATAACAGAGGGGAGCTCAGCATCTAAGCTATGGGATGGACAATTAGCGTTTAATTCCCAGTAGAGATACATTTTCTCTTTGCCACCACATCCACACCGACTCTAGGGCTCACCGAGTAAAATGGGTATTCAGGGCTCATCTTTGGGGAAGGCAGCTGTGGCATGAAAAAGACTGCCCACATCAATCTAGTGCTAAAGTTACAAATGCATAGAGGTATACCTCCACTCCTCATACAATGTGGTATCAGAAAGTTCCCAGACTGTTATTGTTGTAACTGCCTCGGTGAAAGATGATGAGAACGGAGGCCAAGGTCACATTTCCACAAGCCTATTGCATCAGTCTGGCACATGACACCATGCTGTAAACATGCACTGTTTTTACACAAGTGCTTTTTTTTTACTCTGTGTTTCATTTTGTCTGTGATGGATGGCAAAATTGAGCAACATGTCTGCATCAAGTTTTGTGTGAAGCTCAGAAAATCTGCTACCAAAACCCTTGAAATGCTTTGTGAGTCTTTTGGAGAACATTCTTTAAGCCAGACAGTGGTTTCTGAATGGCATTCACATTTCAAGACTGATTGAGTGTCAGTTGAAGATGACATTCAGGGCGACCAAGCACCAGTAAAATGACGGAAAATGCTGAAAAAATTTGAGAACTCATTAATGAAGACCATCGCTGAACAATCCATGAGCTCACAGACACCACTGGGATCAGTTATGGAGTTTGCCAGGAGATCTTAACAGAAAATTTGAACATGCGACAGACTGCTCCTTCATCATGACATGCCCACCCACACGTCCCTGAAAACTATGTCTAATAACAACATGGTTATTGTTCCCTTCCTCCCTACTTGGACTTAGCCCATTTTGATTCCCAAATTGAAAATGAAACTGAACGGACAACGTTTGAAACAGTGACTGACATTCAAAGGGAATCACAAGCGGTACTCGACAGCATTAAGGAAAATGACTTCCACAGTGCTTTTGAAGCATGGAAAAAATGATGTGATCACTGTATATGTTCCCAAGGAAACTGTTTTAGAGAAGATGGCAGCCAAAATTTAGTAAGTTTAGCCAGCATTTCTTTTTTGACTTACTCTGGGAACTTTCCAATAGTACCTCATACATCTTCATAAAGTGCTTAAGCTTAGAGATAACTTTACTTTTATCTTTAACATCTGAGCATGAATAAGCCACGTCTTTCTCAATCCAACTAAAACCTAAGGGTATTCTTATGCTTATGGGCATTACATGGAAGGATGAAGTTAAACCACTTGGAATTTTCTTGCACTTTGCCTTGTATTATTGCTCCTTATAGTTTCAATTCTTTTGTGTGTGTGTGTGTGTGTGTGTGGGGGGGGGCATGCAGGGAATTGTTCACATAAATAGTGCTACAAGTATAATGCAGTCAGGGAAGTAAATGGCTACATGCTAAATTTCTAGGGCTCTCCTACCAGCAGGGCATTAAGAAGTGTTCTCTGTGCTACCAAATCTAGATTAGGTCAGGGCCCATATGCACATAACCTGGGGAGACTGTCAGTTCCTTCCCAGGTGGAACACTGCTGGTGTATAACACTGACAATGCACCCTCCATATCACAGTTTGGGCAAAGTGTAGAGAGGACTTTACTTTTAATTTTTATGGAAAAAAGTGGTGTCAGAACTGAAAAAAAAAGTAGTATGGATATACCAGAACACATTTACAGAGCAATTTTATTGTCAAAATGGCTACAATTCCAAAATTTTGTTTTATCACAATTCTGTCATTATATAACAGTCTACTGCTCATTCTATGCAGCTGGGTTATTGTATGAAATACATAATAGGTACATAGTTTGCAACAAAAAGAGTTAAGTATAATAAACCAAATATGGGGAAATTATATACACAGAAAATAAAATTAATAACTTCCTCATCAGAGTGAATTTATGTGAGAAAATTTGGTGTTTCCAGATTTCAAGATAGTGCCAGCCTAAATCCTTGGATTCACATCCTTGAATTCTACCCAAGCATGTGAATGAGTAATTTTCTTAGCCTACTATATATGGTTTAGACATTTGTTTGTATTTTGGTCTTCTAGACACCATGTAGTCCAGCAGGCAGGTACCAGCACTTTATGGATACATGTTACTCGTACATCCATCTCCAGGCCAGAAGTGGAGAGGTGGAAGTAAAGTGGCATCCAAAACATTAGCACCCACCTACTAGACTACACAATGTCATAACCCAGAAAGCTACAGTATGGTGCTTCATCTCTATGAAAATCACAAGTCTTCCATTACTTCTGTTTAGTTTGAACAGAGATGAAAGCATAAGCAAATCAAATGACTCTGTTCTTTCAAATTCTCTGTTAAAGGCTTAACATATGCAGTATCAATAGTAAAAATACAAAATGGTATAAATGAGGTGGAACAGGTACTGATTGTACAACAAACTTAAACAAGAGATCATAAATACTTAATATACTGAAGATATGTGCATAAATTGGGATGTTATCTACCTTGCGGTCTTTGTCTGGAGGTTTGTTCCCTCCACCAGCTCCTGGACCAATCTTCAGGGCTGTGAAGTTCTTCGCAAGTGTTAGCACTGCACCATATGTTTGCAGAGTATCTGCACCTTGTTCACCGAGCTCAGTGCGCTTCCAACAGTGAACACAATACAACTCACGACCTTTCATTAGGGCAGTTTGGATACACTTGAGGCAGAAGTAGTGTTTGCAACTTAGGAACTTCGGGCAAAGATCTGAGTCATTGAACTTCTGCTTGCAAAAACTGCAGAGGGTCAATTCCTCAAGTTCTGGTAGTACTCCTGGTTCCATCATCTGTAAAGTTATTATAGATTTAACAAGTACTGATACATTTAATTTCTCTACCACAAAGCAACTTTTGCATGTTCATGTTCTTATTATGTAACATTTTACACGTAATTTACTAACACGGTAACTTCAATTGTGAAAATCAAAATTTAAATAATGGGTTTATATTGGGTTCATATTACACTGCGTAGCCTTAAAAAAGACGTATAATAATCTACTCATAAGCGAACCTTAATGACATTTATATACACCCTTTTTTCTGAATCCGGCCCTCAACTGAAATATTGAATTAGCGTTACTCGACATTTTAATACAATTTGCTCTGTCCACTCCGACCAGTGACAACACGAAATAAAACTTTCGTTCCTCACCAACCCTTATGTTATCCGGCATTCGTTTGCAGAACACTGCAACATGCCACAGTCAGAGTTGTAATAACGGCAAAAATAAGTACATATACCACACCTTTAATGTTAATTAATATTCGAGGGCGTATAATTAACAAAATTTCCAGACAATTTAAACAAGTTCCTTACCGTGTTTATCGCGTTGTTGCCACAGCGAAAAAAAAAACAAAAGTCGGTACGATGAAAATACGTAATGTAGCGAACGAGCTACGAAAACGAAAACGCACGTATCGGTGCGTTTGTACGGTTATACGAAACTGTCGATTAACGAGGAAGCGGCATTTATATTTTACATAACGAAAAACTGCCGTTGCCGGCTTCTATACGGCACTAACTTACAACATTATGCCACATCATGATGTTAACACTGAACCATTTGGCATGGCGGACGATGTTGCTTTACGAAACCTGCGCCATCTGTCCGCGCGTTTCCATTAGTATCGCGCAGACGCCATCTTAACTTGGCGATTGGACCGCGGTTTTTCGAAATTTTTTAATATTGCAACAGTCATTGTCGGTCATTGTGTACAATATCTATACGTATTGGTTTATATAGTATTGTGTCGGTTAAATTACGCTAAGCTAAGCTAATTCATATCCTTATTGCTTTCATTTCAGGAAAAAGACGGTTATGGTAACGAAGTCCCCAGGTTAGCCAGGCCTCTACCTGTTGAGTATTTGCTTGTTGATATACCAGCCTCTACACCTCTCAGTCCGCTGTTCACATTTTATGCAGATGCAAATACACGACAGTTCCCAGTAGAGAACAGGTAAACATGCACCCTGTGGTTCCTTTTATACACTTCATGTAAAGTTACACCACTTTAGTGGTGTGAGATAGTCATGATATGTGGGTTTATAGCATTTTATTCATCTATAGAGTATGCAGGTTAGAGGCTAACAAATTGTAAGTTCTGATAATGTGTGGAATGGGAGGAAACAGTATTACCATTCATTCATTCATTCATTTATTCACATTCCATAAAATCCTTACATGGTTTAAACAACCGAACAGATATAGAAATCGTCAAGTAGTATGAACTCATCTTGCTTATAAATCAAGCAGTTGTCAATATGTATAATTGTATGCAGGATTAACAATGAATACAGTATCAGTTGGTCACTTCAAATAAACTTCACCCCACTTTTCATTTATATTTCAATTGTAAATGTTTTTCTTTTAGCATATCAGACATACAGTTGCTGGGTGGGAAGATTGTGTATTTATGAGTATATAGAAAGTCCTGCAGTCTCCTGGCAACATTAACTTCACATGTAGGTGTACTTATTGGAAATCATCAGTGTGGAGTCGAGTATGATGGATGAAATGTGTCCTTCTGTGTCCTTCATATTTTCCTTAATAACTGTCATATCCAGAAAATCGCATTTTCTTTATTTGGCAGCTACATTTAGGAGTTACGAGGTTTCAGCGCAAAAGTAGATAGAGAAAATGTGTCCTGTCAGAATTTATGTGAAATTAGTAATGATAATGGAATTGGAGCAGAAGTGGCCTGTGACTAAATACTCGAAGGGCTGATCCCCATCAACATGTAACTCCTCAGTGTATGAAGAGTTTAATGAATCTGTAATTTGCTTGTATTTATTATGGCATAAAAAGTACTTTGATGGACTTGCAGTTTTACATTTTATGTGGCATAAGGTTTTTCAGAATCTGCAGAAAAGTTACTTAGGTTGCAAGAAGTTCATGGAGGGTCTCATCCTTAGCTCACTTTTCCATGGAAGTTTTTTCAGTTATGGCGATCAGTAGATGTCATGCATTCTCCTCGCAGGTCTGTTCTGTTGCAGGTCTAATCTCTTGTAGAATTCCAGGTGTTCTCCTGTCTTTGCCATGTGTCTGAACATCTGTTATTCTTCCTCCCACTACAGGCAATGATTGTTTCAATTACACTGCAAGAAAAGCTTGTGTTAACACTTCAGGTTTTTTGTGTGAAATTATAATTAAGACTGTTTAACATGTGTGACTTGTGTGAATTTTGAGTGACAAGTCTGCAATAAGAATAGAGTTGAAAGTTTATTAAAAACCCTGTGTAGAGTTAGCACTAATTTCATGAGTGATATTACAGCATCAGAAAATTATACAGTTTTAATGGTGGTACTAAACAGGTAACATACATGAAAAGAAGTCAATGAACAAGTGAAGAACTGCATTTAAAGACAAACTTGAAGTAATTATCACATAAACCTTTATTACTGTAAGTATCACAAAACCTGAAAAAGAACGTGAGGAATGCAGCCAGTAAATTAGCCCTGTAAGTGGTAGAAACAGTGAATTTATAGGTTCATACACATCTTTGCTGAAGCAACTGTTAGCATTGATCTGTCCATCCATCTGTAAAATCAAGCTGTGGGCAGGACAGGGCACAGATGAGCCTAGAGTGGTCCAAATCCTCCAACCAAATGGGACAGTGTTTTTCTACCAAGAGGAGTAAGATGTTCAGCTGCAGGTTACAGGGGGTCACATCCTCTTTGTTTAAAATGTTCTTGGCAACACAAAGAGCCTGAAGTTACTGAAAAGGAAAGGTACTATATAAATCAAAAAGTAAACTCTCTAATGTGAATTTGATTTGTTTCATTCTGGTTTGTCACACTAACAGTTATAACTACGTTAATAACGCAGTGAAAACTTATATGTCACATTGGACGGAGTGGTTTGTATTTATCTCTAATGTGAACTTTGAAACAAGAGCACGGTTTTTTTTTCCCCCTTTTTTAAATACAGGCATGGATGAGGATTAAATTTCGTTCATTCCTGGCTCCACCTGTCAGATGGTCAAGATATGTATACAGTGGCCGTCTTGTAGTGCACTCAGTTTCACCTGTTACTTCACAACATGTTTCAGCAACATAGTGCCATCATCAGGTGCCCTAATTACGCTAATCTATTGCATTGCTTGTCATTATATGTCTTTATAAAATTATTTAAAAAGTATTTAAAAAGTGCGTATTCATCAACTATAATAAATTTACACACACTAAAACTTGTTAAGATTATTCATCTTATGTGTCTTAATTAAAATTTGCGTGTGGTTCTTCCACTATAGGGGTCGATTTTCTTATATTCTGTGTAAACCTGCGACGTGAAAAAAGGTACTTATTATTATTACTTTCGGCTTCTATCTGTTATGTGTTGTATTATGATGTTTAGTACTCACCGTGTCTTGTGATGTGTGTTCCCTTTTTAGCTGCGAGTGTTGTAATGTTGGATGTGTGTGTGTCTTCATATTGATTGAGTTATAACGTGGTAGGGGTAGATGTAGTGGGGTTGTGTTATGTTGTTCTGTGTAAATTGTGTGTAATTGCTGAAATATTGGGTTATATATTTCCTTATTTATATTGTTCATATGTATGTTTTTCTTTGTTGTTCTGTATATATGATAGTTTTCTAATGTGTTTAAATATTGTCCTTTCTTATTCGTTGCTATGATATCCATAGTATTATCTATTGTACCATATGCATATCCTGTGTTTAATATGTGTTCTGAGTATCCTGTATTGCTGTTATTGTGTTGTGGGAGCATCCCCACAGCGTCTGGCAGACAACCGTCACCCCTTTCAGAAAGTGCCAAACAGGCAGCTGTGACCAAAGAGGCACGGCATTTATACACTCTCCAACTACTGCAACTTATATACCAGCTACATATATTTATAAACTTCACCGTGGCCCTGCCTTTCCGTGCACGGCCCAATGGATGCATGCCATGACAACTGCAACTTTAGCTCCGCCTCCCGGCCGGCAGTATTTAAGACCGCGGCCAACGGTGCAATCAGTTCAACTCGAAACGGCAACGCAGTCAGAGGCATCAACTCCACTTCTGCGACCGGGTAACTGACATAGTTGCCGCAAACCTTCAGCGAACGCATCTTCCGCAACCCAGCAATTGGCCGAGCCAGTCGATCCTACCGGCACGCGCAGCACTGCATTACCACCCAGACAGGCCAGCTAGTCAGCCGTAAGACTCTGCCCACTACAGAGGAGTGAAATTGCGGTGGAACGAACTGCCCCTAGAGGGCCAGCCAGTGCTTGAATATTATACGTATATTCTGTGTTCTGTATATTGACTTTAAACGATTCAATATGTACAATCGTACAGTTTCGTGTGGTTTGTCTATTGGAGTATTGACGACAATCCCACAGTGTCTTATGTCATGTATGTGTTCTTTATATCTTACAGATCGGGTAAATAATTACCACATCACCAAAGTAGCAAAAGATACTGAGATAGCTACTATAAATAACATACTCGTAAACAATAAGTACAACACAGGTATAATTACTAAAATAACTACAAATAAAAGAAACCAAAACATTACAAAAAAAACAGAACATCACAGAGAATTCAGAAGAACAAAAAACAAAATGGGCAACATTCACATACAAAGGAAAAGAAACAAGAAACATTACAAAAATATTTCGTGACACAAAATTAAAAATAGTATTTAGAACTAAGAATAATTTACAACATATTTTAAAATCAAAAACACAAACGAGTAAATATAACAAAAGTGGCAATTCAGAATGGAATGCCTAGATTGCCCCATGGAATATACAGGACAAACTGGAAGAAAATTTAATACCAGATATAAAGAACACATACATGACATAAGACACAATAACAGCAATACAGGATACTCGGAACACATCTTAAACACAGGACATGCATATGGTACAATAGAAAATACTATGGATATCATAGCAACGAATAAGAAAGGACAATATTTAAACACATTAGAAAACTATCATATATACAGAATAACAAAGAAAAACACATACGAACAATATAAATAAGGAAATATATAACCCAATATTTCAGGAATTACACACAATTTACACAGAATAACATAACACAACCCCACCACATCTACCCCTACCACGTCATAACTCAATCAATACGAAGACACACACATCCAACATTACAACACTCGCAGCTAAAAAGGGAACACACATCACAAGACACAGTGAGTACTAAACATAATACAACACATAACAGAGAGAAGCCGAAAGTAATAATAATAATAAGTACCTTTTTTCACGTTGCAGGTTTACACAGAATATAAGAAAATCGACCCCCATAGTGGAAGAACCACACGCAAGTTTTAATTAAGACACATAAGATGAATAATCCTAACAAGTTTTAGTGTGTGTAAATTTATTATAGTTGACGAATATGCACTTTTTAAATACTTTTTAAAAAATTTTATGAGGACATATAATGACAAGCAATGCAATAGATTAGCGTAATTAGGGCACCTGATGATGGCACTATGTTGCCGAAACATGTCGTGAAGTAACAGGTGAAACTGAGTGCACTACAAGACGGCCACTGTATACATATCATGGAGGGAATTGTAGTCAAGTGTACCTGCTGTTTGATCTGAGAGAAGACAGATCCAGTATTATATATAGTAATAAGAGTAATATTAAATGCCTTTTCTTAATGTCCCATGACCATGCTATAGCTCAGGTGGTTAGTATTGTATTTGTATTTGTATTTATTGTAAGTTCAGGAGATCCAAAGATTGATATAGAACATGTCATAAAATAATATAGAGCATAAAATACATACACAAATATTACACAACAAGACAGTATAATGAATACAACAATAATAAAAATTATCTATTTAGATATTCATCCACAGTATAAAACTAATGATTATTCAAGAGATGCCTTAATACAACCTTAAATTATTGGATGCGTTCTTGATCTCTCTGGGCAGCTTATTGAATAGTTTTATACCCGAATAATAAACTTCTTTTTGATAAATAGTTAAATTAGCTTGAGGTAAATACAAAGCTTGTCTTTGTATAGTATCAATAGCATGAGAACCAATGTTTGATGGAAAAATAACTTTATTTTGCAATACAAATACTAGCAATGAAAATATATATTGTAATGCAAGTGATAAAATATTTAACTCTTTAAATATGTTTCTACACAGAACTCTATTGCCATATCCCAACATCACTCTGATAACCTTTTTTTGGGGAAGAAAAATAGTAGAACTATGAGATGAGTTCCCCCAAAAGATACCATAGTTCATTAAGGAGTGAAAAAAGAAATAATATATTACCTTTAAATCTGAAATAGATATATAATATTTCATATTTCTAATTATGTAACAAACCTTATTTAATTTTTTTACAAGTAAATCAATGTGATTCTTCCATATTAAGGCACTATCAACTATAACTCCCAAGAATTTAGTACTGAGGGTACTGTTGATAAACTTATTATTATCTTTTATTGTAAAAGTATCTAGCATTATTGTCTTAGTTTTGAATTGAATACAATGTTTCTTTTTAAAATTTAAAGATAATTTATTAATTCTAATCCATCCATTTAAGATTCCAATTTTTATAAGAATATTCCTGCTAAGATCATTTATATTAGAATTTGAAAATAAGATGCTAGTATCATCAGCAAAAATTATAGGTGTAGAAAATTCATTTAATATTTTAGGCAAGCTGCTTTAGTCAGCAGCACCCTATTGCAGCGGCCCAAGTTCGATAGCGAATCATGTTATTTGGAATTTATAGTAGACAAAGTGGCACTGGGGCAGGTTTTCTCTGAGTACTTAGTTCCCCTGCCAATTGTAATTTCACAAAGTTCTCCACAGTCATGACTCATCCTGTACATTGGTGCTATATTATCTCAATACTGACAGTGTCATTAAATAACAAACTTAAAAAAGTAATGCCTGTACATTTGTTCAAGATTAACAGTTTGGGGCAGACTCCCTCCATATCCCTGTTTCTTCTTGATTATGTAATACACCCTTTTCAGGAACACAGCCCATGAAATCTGGGACAATTGTAATAGCTGGAATTTTTTTTTATGTTACACATGGGGACACAGAAGGTTAAAATTCCACCCCATATATTGTGCATCCTTCATGTGTTCCCAGCATCTTATCCTTACACAGCAGCTATCCTATTTATAGCACTGTTTTACAAGTTTCTAGTAGTGGCCTGCCCAACATATATCTTCCATTTCTCTCACTTCTTTTGATCATAAAAAATAGCTTTGTACCATTTTATCCCCCTTTTAAAAGTATGGTCTCCATCATTGTCAAATTTGTATAATTTCAGGATGGTTGATGGCCATATCCAGGATTTTAGTGCTTTAAGTTCGTATATGCAGCAATTTACCCCTGACTGTTTTCTTCAGGCTGTGTCAGATTTCCACTTTCTCCTCTATATCTCAACAATGGATATGCTGCCCATGAAGGTTTGTGGAATGAGTAATGTTTACATGAGAGGTCTGACAAATAACTGAACTGTTTTTTTATATATATGTATTTATTTATTTATTTACTTCCTTACTTGTCACTAACTATAGTAAATGTGGTCACCTTCAAATTACTCTCCTTCTGATTTTAGTTGTGTTGCTTTGAACATCAGGTTGTTCAAAGTGAGCCCCTATCAGATTTTTAGTCTGGGATCTTGGAAAAGTCACTGGAGTCCAAATTAGGCAAGAACAGTTTTGGGACAGACTTTCTTCCACATTCTGATCTTTGGTTGTATCAGTCGCTCAGTTTTTCTCATATCATCGATAGAGTCAAAAGTATTTTTTTGCTGCTTTGGTCACTTTCCATATTTGGATCATTTCTTGAAGGTAGTGTCTTCTAGGATATGATGCTGTGTAATCTGGTAGAAGTTTATGGATGTTTTGGAGGAACATCAGTAAATATCTACCAGACTATGGCATCACATCCCACAAAACATTAATCTTCATGGTCACCATCATGAGAACCTCAAAGCTCAAATAATTCTTGAATTGTCAGAATATCAGTATCTTTTTTCTTATGCGATGTCCTTTCTTCTATCTTGAAATTGCTATACCCACATAGGAGCCTGTGTTCTGCTCATAGTTTCCCCTCCACAAACTTTCCGTCTTCAGTTTTGCCAATGTTAAGTTTCAATTCTGAAACTTTATCATCAAGTTTTTGACATTCATGCAAAACACTGCAGAAATAAAACACTTACTAGAACCAGTAAACAAACCAGACCCTAATGACAGATGTAAATCAAGAAAATCATATATTCATATTATCCACCATGCTCCAAATCACATATTGACAGTTGCTGCAAATAATGATCAGTCCAGTAATAAGTTGTCAGACCTTTTTATCATTGTTTTCTTAACCAGCTGATTAAGTGTTGATTACTCTGTTTGTGGATATATCTGCAGATTTATATGTTGTTCTTATTAGTTTCTAAAATTGTCCATTATGTTACACAGTTTACTTTATATTAAGCATCCATCTTCAAAACCTTTCTCCCTGTTACACTGTGCTGTACTACAGGGCATCCAGTTCATCTTACACTGGTGAACTAGAAATTTGTTGACACACCTTTCCACTGCGGGCTGCCAAATTGTACTTTGTCACCCAATGCTTGATGGCTTATCTTGATAGTCTGCATGTTTAACATTTAGTTGTCCTTGATGTATGTTCATAGATAGTTTGTAGTGTTGAACAGGAATTATTCATACACAGTCCCTTTATATAGCATTCTTCATGGAGGAAATGCTGTAGGCCAGTGGTTCTCAAACTTTTTACCTCTGAGCCCCCCCTGACAAGAGAAAATACTCTCAGGCCCCCCAGCCTGTTTTTTTTTATCAAAATAGAAGTCATGGTATGTTTGACGTTTTATTCAGTTTATTTTGTGTTTTTCTACATACTATTTAGCAGTTTTTTACTCAAAATTAAATGGCCACTCTTACTTCTTTAGCAATATTTAGCCTTGAACGATACTTTGACTTTATAGCTGCCAAAGCAGAAAAGCCTGTCTCGCATAAGTAAGTCGTTGCAAAAGGCATCAGGATCTTCAGTGCTTCTTGGCTCAAAGTTGGGAATTCCTTGCCAATATGTATCCAGAACTCCAACAAAGACAATTTCTTAAATTTACTTTTTAATGAAGTATCACTGGTGAGGTCGATGAGTTGTTCTTGCTCATTTACCTTCAGAGATGATGGCCCAGGAGCATTTTTGAATGGATTTTTAATCCAATTAAATTTTTCAAAATCATTGTAAAAGTATTTTTCAAAATGAACTTTCAACATTATGAGATGATCAAGTAGGCAGCTTTTTATGTCCATTGGAAGCACTGGATTATCAGTGTCTTGTACCATTGACACTAGAGTAGGGAACATGTCTAGTGTGTCACTTTCCATACTGTTTCTCCAGAGCTCAGATTTTCTCACGAATGCCTGCACTTTGTCATTCCAAGAAAGTACAGTTGCCTCATTCCCTTGAAGTGAAGTGTTGAGTATATTATCTCAACTATATCTGTGAGGTAAGCCATTTTCAATAAAAAATCCTTGTTGCTGAAACTTTCTGCCAGTGAGTGATTTTCCCCATTAAAAAAAACAGAACACCTCATGCCTCAGCTTAAACATTCTCTTTAATACCTTGCCTCTTGAAAGCCATCGAGCATCACTAAAAAACAACAGAGCAGTGTGTTCGGCACCCATTTCCTCACACAGCATTTTAAAAAGTCTAGACTTCAGAGCATTTCAGAGGATGCGGTTGCTGCCGAACTATCAACGCTGTCTCTGGCATACGCGTTTTATAATTGCCGGTAAAGAGAATAATTATTAGTTATTTTGAAATTCATGATAATTAAAGCCTGTACTCATCAAAAGTTTTTCTATATGTATTTTTATTTTTTGTTACTTTTCTAATTTATTTAGGGCAGTTTTAATTTGTATCTGTAGGAAAGTATGCTGCGCCCCCCTTTCAAGCCCTTAGCCCCCCCTGAGGGTCACGCCCCACAGTTTGAGAACCACTGCTGTAGGCAGTTTTGGAAGTATCCCGACAATACAGTGATGTGTAAAGCAACGATCACAATATTAGAATTAAATTATGTTCAGTGGGATCAGTGCTGGACAAAATGAAATCTTAAAAAGTATATGTTCTGACTAAAGAGAAACTCAGTATGAGTACTCAGTTAAAGCAAGTCTGAAGCAGTTATTTTGGTTAATCAGTGTGAGCTGTGGAAGAGCACAGCTTATATTGTTACAAATTTGCTAAAGTTACAGCCATAGAAAACTGCAGTAATACATAGTGTCGCGTGTTGTCTAAGTAACACAACAAATAACTTCACGCAGGTCTTGGATTTAGCGAATATGTTTATTGAACTCTCACTTTTACACATGCAAGTACAGTTATGACCACTTACAACGTCTGCAGACATTTCTTCTTCACTGTTATAATTACTTGCACCACTATCCTCAGTCAAATGTCTTGGTCCCTTGTCAAAGAACTCTTCTTGCTAGAGTCAAATACAGACTTAATTCAATTCAGTTGTCTCGATTCAGTTAACTGTCTGGTCTGAGTCTGACTTATCGTGGAAATGCATTATTCTCGCTGTTTTGACAATTCATTGCCATGGCTATTCCTACACAACGGTCTGTTGGTATTCCATTTGTCACTATGAGAACTCGACCATTTCCATGTATTCACTGTTGTGAAAATATGTGTTCCCATTGTAGCCATTGTGCACCAGCCTCCCTGGCATGAATGGAAAGCTAAAGTTCACGAGCATAGAGAGACTGGAAGTTCCACGGAGCTGCTCTGGACAAGCATGCTTAAAGGAGGGGGTGGATGAAAGAAAGGGAAGTACTGTTAGGCTGTTCAGGACGAACAGCCTTTAGAAGGGAGCAATGTGGTGTACTGCCAGGAATCCAGAATGGTTGATTTCCTAAGCAACGAATGACGTTCCAGCTACAACACTACAGTCGGAATGCATCCTTTGCTATACAGTGGCTAACAATCTAACAGTGGAGTTTCCACCGTCACACATGAATTGTTGGAAGCAGCGGCCGAGGTTAACCGATCGACATGGTATTCTTTATTGAGTCTGCGTGCAAGTTGTAAAAGTCCAGCTTTGATGGGACCATTCAGTCTCCCGTGTGGAGGCAGGGTCGAATACTTCCACCGTAGACCTGCAAGTCGTAGAAGGCAACGAAAAGGGAAGTCTCAAATCTGCGACAGTAAAATATGATCGCAAGTCCCAGAGGACTCAGACCCGAGAGTGACTGCACTGGCAAGGGCCAGCACCACTTGTAAATGACAGACCTGTCCTCTCGTCAGAGAGAGCGCCCCACATTATCAAACCTGCAACTGTCTGACAATAATAAAAATCTAGTCGTAAGCCCCAGGTGGGTGCTTTATTCCAAAACAGACTGGCCGATTGGTCGTCGGTCGTAACTTAAGACTCGACTCGACCAGTCAGTTTTAGAGTTCTTAGTGTACCTCCAACTAGAGCAGAAGCAATAAACATATTCGCTAAATCCGAAATCCACGTGAATTTATTTGCCGCGTTACATAAGCAACACGTGACAATATTATAGATATGTTCATTTGTGTTATAATATAATTTCTAGTGTAAAGTGCCTCCAGAATAGTTCTCAGTGTTTTCAATTTTGAGGTGATTAAGGTGCTTTGCAAAGGCTTTGCTGAAGCAGTTAGTCGCTGGCTTCCAACCGCAGCGGCCCGGTTTCAATCTGGTCAAGTGGGATTTGTGGTGGACAAAGTGGTGCTGGGGCGGGTTTTCTCTGAGTATTTCGGTTTCCCCTGCCAATCTTCATTCCACCAAATTCTCCATCATCATAATCACCCGGGTAGGCGATAATAGGCCAATCAGTGGCCACCGGGCCGAGTGGACCCAGTTGGACTCCACCCCCATTAAGCGAATTTAAAAAAAAAAAAGAGTGCTAAAGTGTAGGATTGACAGCATCTAGCACTCTGATTTGTAACTTTGGCGTGGACACCATGATTTTAAGATTCAGATTGCACATGCTGTTCATTGTGGGAGAGTGTATTGCCAAGAAAGATCCATTCTGTTTTGTCCAGTCACATTATTGTGAATATTATATCCATAACTTTTTTATACCACAAATAGATATGATATACTTTATTTAAGCTGGTTCACCCTTCCCATATTGTTCAAACCAAATGAATATGACTTACACATAAAATAAGCTTTTAACTTGACTGGAGACAATTTAACAGTACTGCAGGATTTGTTATGTAACATACCAGACCCAGCTGGATATTCACTAGATGGCCCTGTTGTTCCTTTTTAAACATCTAAGTTGTGACAGTATCTTTTAACAGACCTTGAAATAACAATATTTCAGCTATGTTTCTTTGTTACATGTTGCCTAAACTGTTGTTTCTTAGCAATGTTACAATGTGAATTATGTACTGAATATGACATAAACCACAAGAACAACTTGAAACCCTGTATTACAACGATGCTTCTAATTGTGGGCATTTGACAGGGGAAAGCAGCCAAAGTTTGCAAGTTTTTATAGTGGTTATGCTGATGAAAGCTGCAGAAAACTACATGGCTGGGGAAACTGAATACTGAATCAATAAATCAGTATGTTCCACAGGAGCTTTTTCCAATAAGAATAGAAATGTGTTGCAGCAAGGACTCGTACTACACCAAATAAACCTCTTAGATTCTTTGCAATTTAATATACAAACTTTTTCAGCTGGTGTGAATTAAAAATATCTGAAAGCAAATGCACATGAGAAATTATAAGGTTATTTAACCTTTAACTTTCCTAAGTATAATTTGTTCAGGTAGGACAGATTTGATACTTGCCTATACACAGCAGAATCTAATGAAATTTTTTGTCTTTTAGGATTATATGGGCCCCATTCTGGAAGCTGTTAGGACTCAAAATTCTGAGCAAGCACAAGATTGGTCCCATTCAGAACATTGGGCTACAGTTGAGCAATTGATTGCAGCAAGTTTATCATCTCCACCACAGTCACGCCCACAAAGTGTGGCATTTGCTGAAATGGTTGCAGCAGGTAGTGGGATGGGTCTTCTGACAGATAGCAGTGAAAGTGGGCTGGTTAGAGGAAATGACCAGGCAGTTACTAGCCAGGCAGACCCTGGCCCACTCTGGACCTGTCCACACTGCACATACCTTAACTCCCCAGAGCTTGTCAGCTGTGAGATGTGTAGCCTGCCAAGATAGACCAGTAGACTTCGTCACCTGTACGTCTAACTGGTTTGGAAAATAAGAAGAAATATTGTATTCACTCATGTGTAATCCTAATTACACTCTTAATTATTTTATACTAGCAGATGTTGCAGAATAGTCATAACCTTTTTCTTCTTTCCCAAAAATTTGAATTAATATTTGAAAATAGTATATAGCACTGCAGTTGGATTTGGAAAATGTACCAAATTATGAAACTAATATATGAAATTTAATTGATGTTAGGTATGCAGGAGTGAATGCAGTATGTCATTGACTAGCACGGTGATTGATCTCTATGCAATTTACTGGGCTTGAGATGTAGTATGCTAACATGAAATCATTTTGAGTCCAGGTGAGTTGATTTATGGATACTCAGTCAAGATATTTTGTTCTCACAAAATGCTTTCATACACCAGTCCAGGATTTAAGGCACCAGATAGCCCTTGGCCTTCATTTAATTGAAGGAGACTGGATAAGGACATGTTGAAAAATATATAGGCTGATAACTGTTACATTGTCATACCACTGTGATGAGACAGTACAAACATTCTTTTCAAAAATGTTTTTGTTTGTTAATATTTACATTGGTCTTAGCTGTATTGACCACTTCCTGCCTCATGCACTGAATTGTGGTCTAGGGGTCAGAGAAAAACAGTAATGTGCTTACAGTGTGTAATGTTTCATGCTGTAACTTCTCAACGTTAAATACTGTACTAGGTATGATATTGCAGTGTATTTTTAGAACTGGCCCTTCCTATGTCTGACTCATTACACATGTTAATTACTCATAAGTTCTGCTTGGCTGCATGACCCTTCCACCCCTCCAATCTTGGCCATTTACAGTGACAGAAGGTTCCAAAAAGATCGGTATTCTTTAGTGTTCAAGTTGCAGTTAGGTTCACAAGCATCATCACTGAAGAAACTGTTGACCAAGGATCTTTGTTAACAGTAAGTGATTTGACTGTCAGATGTTTTACAATTTTCAAATGATGTGTATAGGAGTGATTTGCATATTGAGGCCATGACAGTTGTTAGTTTTCAGTTATATACCACAGACAATGCTCAGAATGGTGCATTTATTAATGAACAGCAAATTTCTTTAAAATAAATGGTTCACATATATCTTCTACTATGTACTTATAACTGACATATTTTGGAAAGTTAGTTATTCTGTTATGTTGGTAAATTTTCCATTTTCTTTTAGATTCCATGGTACTAGAAAATGGAATGTTACTGATATACATTGTATAAATGATCTGAAACATTGCTGTGTTTGATGCTTCTTCTAATTGTAATTTATGAGAATTATTGTATTTTGTTGAACATTTTCTTCTCATAAAATGTGGTCAGAATATGATATTTCAGTTTCCCATCATTATGTAATGCATATTAAATTGTTTGGTTGCAGTAATTCAGTGTATTATTTATTTAGTATTATTAGTGGACTGATTTAAATCTTTTAATAGTTGAACCACGAATCATCACTATCCCATTAATGCTTAAACAACATTATGTTTCCATTAAACTAACTACTGTATCATCACCACTGATTGCAGAGCATTCTGCATTTCTGATCTTCCTTATCCACTGTCCCCCAGACAGCCTATTAACATGCAGTAGGATTTTGGATGTAACATCACATCCACAGATAACTCTTTTCAGCTCTTCATGGACATTTTTCTTCTGTCTTTAAAGAAGCTGTTTTATATATATATATATGATCTGGGATATTGCTTTATTCACTGGAAATGTATGAATATTGCTTACCAAAGCATGTGATTAGGGGAACAGTGCTGGAAATGTTGGTGACTAGATTTAAAAAGGTCAAGAATTGTCATTGAATTCTGGGGTATCTGGTAAATCTGCTGCATAGATTGATGTATTCTATCTGCTGTTGGTGTACTGCATAACAATACACATTCATAATTTCATACTTCCATCAGTCACAGAAATTTAAAATGCATTAGGGAAAGAAGAAAAATGGGAGGCAACAAGAACAAGTTTTTGTTGGTTAGACTATTAACATGAAACTTTGTTTTTCTTATGTCACTGACAAATTAACTAGGTATCTTTTGATACTGTTTGCAGATATGTTAAGAACATGGTTGTTGTAGTGTGTGTCTGAAGTTAAACAGTGAAATGATTCAAAATTTGTTCCTGTGGTAGCAAATGGACTTCAATTCTGTACTGATGTAGAATATGACTGATTCATTACATTTATTTAGAAATCACAATGTGACTGTAAAGAACATTCTTTTGTCATGTTGAATAGAAGAAAGCAGTCTTCTGGGATTTGGCACCGTGTATATGTGGTGTTAACCAACGTTTCGGAGGAACGTATCGCCCCCATCTTCAGGGTAGAAGAAAAAGTATAAGAATTCTGCAAGCGACAACACCGTGAGAAACGGTAAAGCATCTCACGGTGTTGTCGCTTGCAGAATTCTTATACTTTTTCTTCTACCCTGAAGATGGGGGCGATACGTTCCTCCGAAACGTCGGTTAACACCACATATACACGGTGCCAAATCCCAGAAGACTGCTTTCTTCATAGTCACCGCCGTGAAAGCCTCAAATCTTACATGTTGAATAGAGTTTGATTTCCATTTGAGCATTGATTATGGCATCTGATTGTCTACAATGTGTGAAATACTATTTATTGATTGGTAAGTTCATTATCACTATGTCAGATGGCTTTTCATTTCCATTTGAACATCATTTTATTGTGTACGGTGTGTAAAAATAATTATTTTTTGAGTGATATACTTTTTATGTCTCTTTGATTCTACTCATATTGCACAATTCCATTCAGATGGAGTCAAATTTGCAAGTGGGAGCCACAATTTGAAAAGTGAAATTTACTAAATAATATATGGAGTCGGGATACCTCAGTTGGTATTGATAGGCTATGGGCTGGACAGCCAGGGTACTGTTCCTGGCTGGGGAAAGATTTTTTGTCATCCCTGTAGCATCAAGACAAGCTCTGGGGCCCACTCAGCCTCTTATCCAATAGGTGCTGGTAAAGCGGCCAGAGCATGAAGCCGACCACTCACCTCTCTCTAGTACCAAGGTCACAAATGTGGAGCTATACCTCCACTCCCTCATATCTCTTCATGGCATAGTGCTTATTAATTAAGCACAGGGACAACGCTTATGTTTTTACCTTTTATTAAATAATAAATTCAGACATTTCCTTAAATATGCAGTCATAAAACTTGTGCACCCACATACATTTTTGTATGGAATCATATATCTGCTCATACACCAAAATGAAACTTTTAATGCTTATGCTTGGTTTGCTCAAAAGACTAAGTATGTATGAGTCAAAACTTGTCAGAACGAGAAAAATTATCTCAGTATAGAAATAAAAGTGTCTTCAGTCTTTCAGAAACCTATCAAAATATCAGTCTTGATAGCAACATCATAACTGTTACATGATACAGTAGTTAGTTAGTTAGTTAGTTATTGGAGAGGGTGGGTTTCCCCATGCACTTAGACCTGTATTGGTCCATTGTGCTTCCCTCTATGATTTCTACCAGTCTCTATATCCTACCGGTATTGGTGCTTACCATCAGTCCCGCCCAGCCAGCGAGACCGGCTCTACTAGCTGAGAGGTATCTATAATGCTTCCCCCATCTACCAGAGGTATTAGAGACTGCTGTTGGGCGGGAAATGTCCGTAATTTGGCTCAGTGACCTCCTTTGGAGATATGAGGTTCTTTTACATGCTGTAAAGCTACGACATGGGACCCACGGCTTAAAGTCCCTCCCGGAGGACTTGTTTCCTGAATTTTTTCCGCCCTTAAAAATTCGACGACCGCCGCCGGGTATTTGAACCTGCGTACTACGAGTCATGAGGTGGGAACATTACCTCTAGACTACGGAGGCCGCTTACATGATACTGTAACATAATTACAATACTTGAGTGTGCAGCAAAGGTTTCTTCAAATTCAGTATTTCATAAGCTACAGTAATCAGTTTTCATACAAAACTTTACATTATTCTCTAAGTCACTCATGGTTATCTTAGCAAAAGCATTCTACTCATTAGAGTACAGATAACAGCAGTCTCATAATGCCAGGTCCTTTTTTCAAAATACAACTTCATTTATTTTGGAAATATGATTCTAAACAATACTTTCTGAAACATAAATCAGCAATAACTGTTATATTTTATCCTCTCTAATTAAAAGAACAGATCAGCTACAACAAACAACGATATTTTGCAAAACTTCTATGTTAATACTTTCTGTGAGGAAAAATTATCTGTGATGATCAAGATTCATTTGGATGGAAAGATGATATAGTGTACTAGGATTTTCAGAAATGTTTAATATGCCCAAATATATAACATGTGAATCTACCATTAATTTAATTCCAGACATGAAAGTTTCAGTGAAAATGCCACCAATTAATTTAAATGTATATTGCCCCATATTTTAATGCTTCTTAATTTTTAGGACTCATCTTGACAGTAAAACAATAAACGGTAATTCTCATTTCAAACGACATACACATGTAAGAAATAACAAATCATGGTACTTTATAATTAATTATTTTGGGTGTGTATGTATTACAGACGTATACATATATAAAAACTACAGCATTAATTTTTCCTCATGTTTTTTTCTTTACATACTTTTCCTGTACAACACAAATGTGATAAATTAATTTGTAATAAAGTATATATATAGATAAAGAAATGTATTCAGTTTGGCACTTTTCATCTTGGGTCATGAGTTTTTCATTGGTACCTCAACATCAATTCAAATTAAAACAAAAAACAAACCCCAAAGGTTTCTTATGCATGCCTACAAGAAATTACAGCGACTTTTTGAATTATGAATTTATACTCTAGTTTTGTTTCAAATGTGATAACACTGCCTGTGTCTGAACTTTGCTTTGTTGTTCATTTGTTTAACATATCCACATTAATGCCTTAATGCATGATTCCTCCCTAACCTCCACCCCACGGTCATGGACTTCTTTAAGGAGGGTCATAAAGTTCTCAAGAATTGTTTAACATGCTGGTAGTATTCATACATAGTTTTGGCAAATTAGTAAGTCAGTAAGCTTTAATATAGGTGCTTTTGGAAAAAGATTCTGCAGGCACCAAAACATTTCACAAATTTTTTTGACTGTACAGGAACCTTTATAGCTTACTGTACATGCAGAGAAGCTGTAAAGCTACTTAGATTCATGCTGTCACTAAGCAGCAATGGTACCCCCATTCAGCATGTCAAAGTTTTCACTGTGGCCCCTTCTTTACTTTGTGTTTATAAAAGACAGCTCTCAGTTTTTACATTTTTAAAATCAACCCATTTTCGGCTTTCATCAATGAATATTTATCAAGATTGTACCAATGTTATGACATTTTGAGAATCAATTCAGTTTCACTACATAATTCTTTGGGAATATCCCACATTCTGGGACTTGCAACAATGTGCAGAACTGCACTTTTGCTGACTGGCATTCAAGCCAACAAATGCAATACTCTGATTATCATTTGGAAATGAATATTGAGAGTTATAAAGACTGGTTTGTAAGTAGATAGGATTTGAGGTTCTTCAAGCAGTGGTTATCATGAATTCTATCTTCTAGGGTATAATACCATGTAATAGTCCACTGAAAGTCAACTGACAATTCAGAGGAACATGTCACCTCCATCTTCAGAGTTGAAGAATTAAGTCAAACAAGAAACGAGACTGAAGCAAGCAGCAGACTCTTTTCATACACACAATGCTGAGTTCTGGTAGTAAGAATATGTAATATTCAGCAAGCAATTTCATGCAGAATATAAAGCCTTGCCTTATTCTTGTTTTCAGAGCTGTGATAATTGTTGACAGAATGTCTTGCTAGATAAAAACAAACCATGCAATTAAAATAATGGAAGAACCAATGGCTTATCATTCTTGTAACCCTCTTCACCTTCCATGTCACTTATTTCTGAATCCTTACTTTCATCTATGTTTCTCCCTTCACTAGAGCCTGTATCAAGTTGACTGGGTTAGAGTGAAAATGTGAGGTAATATTAAATAGTGACTAATTTCATTTGCTGTCTGATCTAGTTCATACACATTTCTTGATTTGTGTATGAAGCAACACAAGGAGTAATTTCAGGATGGTTTTCCTTAGGTAATAATTCAATACCATTCTTTCACAATAACTGTTGGATGTCTTTTTGCAATACCCTGTGTTACGGACTTGCTTCTATAATGGTAGTGATAGCTGACATTACATAATTATGATGGATCCATCTTATAAATAATTTAGATATCTGCTTAAAAATCGGTCTTTAAAATTATCAGCATTCATTTCCAAATGATAATCATAAGTCACACATTTGTGGACGTGAATGAAAGATCCACTTGCTCTCAGAAATAAAAATTGTTCTCGACCATCCTACATAGCACACAATAATCCTGTTATCTTTTTCTAGAGAAATTCACATGTCCCCCTTTCTTCATTAGTCCTGTCAAATGTATTTATCTGTATTGTTTTGGTTAACCCATATTTCATCTAAACAGAAGAATGACTTCAGGCAGCCACATTGCCTCTTTTTCCTATGGGAAATTTGAGTCTATGAGTGGTTTTCCTATATTTGAGCTCAATGCTTTTTAAAAGTTTTGGTATTTATATATGTACACTGGCTATACCACATGCCTGAACAGACACTTCCTGCATCTTCAAGACATCCAATTTGCACACTCATCATCTGATGACCATTTCATTAAAAATGCTTATATAATGAAAATAATTTTTCTGCTTCATAGGCATAAAACTTTGCTCTTATTTTTAACACCATCTGTTGCATCATTTATCATTAGTACAGGGACTGCTAGTTGCAAGCAACAATAATGAAACACAACAGTTCACATTAATTTAAACACTGTTAAATATATGGCTTGAATTGAGACAAAAATTGGACCCTTCAACTCATCTGAGCTGACTGTAGGCTATACTGGAAAGAAAAATGCTTAAATTAGGTCCCTAATAGGAAAGACACTGTACTTTTTGTTTATGAGATAAAAATGGTCAATTAGATAAAACTGAGGACTCAGCTGTCATTACTAAAATAAGCAGCTTTGACCGACATCAGAAACTCAAGCTCTATTCATTGGAGTTGCTCCCGATCATTTATCGTAGGCAGCTTTTGTGAGTGCAAGTGATAAAGGAATGCACTCAGCCACAGCTGAAGCACTCATACCCTGTATCAGGCAATGTTGAGTGGTGTAAGAGAGTGATTTGCTAGTGCTGCTGAGACAGCTTTGCTTTGCATCAAATGCCTTAAAATGTTCTGTGTGCCATATTTTGACTTAAGTATTGTGCATATCATTAAGGTGGGAGCACGTGGTAGCATAGTTGATTGAGGCACTATGCTACAAGCTGGAAGGTCACGGGTTTGATTCCTGATGAGCTAATCTTTCCAGCCACACTATGGCCCTGGGATCAACATCCTCTAACAGAAATGGATACCAGTTGGCATGTAAAGCTGACTACATCACAACCATCTGTTAGCCGATTGTGTAGGATTGTGACAACCCTGTGAGCATCCACAGCCTATCACAGGGATAACTGTACCTTTCTTTTTCTTGTCTTTTTTGCATATCATTCAGGTCAAAGGGATCTGATAAAGTAAAGTAAAACTATCCCTGTAACAGGCCGTGAAGGCCCATAGGGTTGTGAGACGTTGAGGGACCCACATTTTATACACAATTGGCTCAAAGATGGCACTAAGGTTGTCAGCCTTATGTGCCGGCCGTGCTTTACTCCGCAGAATTATTTAATTAATTCCTGGTACTCATTTCTGTTAGAGGCTGAGTCAACCCCAGGGCCATAGTGCAGCTGGAAGGATTAGGTTGACAGAAAAATCCAATGACCTCATCAGGACTTGAACCCACGACCTTCTGGCTTGTAGCATAGTGCCTCAACCAAATATGCTACCACGTGCCCCCAAAGGGATTTGATATGTAAATTATATTTCCACTTAACATAAATATCATCATAACATTAAGATGTGTGAATTAATTTTAGTGTATTGCATGTCCAACAAGCAGTCATATATAGCTGACAAGGCATGGTCTTTCAGGTTGAGGGCTGGGCAAAGGACTAATAACCCTTCATTATAAAAAGCTAGCATGTTAGAAATATTACACAGGGAGTTGGTCTTTTAAGAACATGGTAATGAACCTTCAGGTTCCATAAAAGGCAAGGAATTTCTTTACCAGCTGAGTGATGTATCTTCTCAGGGACTCTCACAGGAGGAAGAACAGCGCAATCATCACAGCAACTGGCTATGGAATGGATGGCCAAGGCAGCAGAGTGTAAGTCCCAGTAGGGGCAAAATATTTCCTCTCCACATCGTCCTGACCACCTCTGAGGCCCACCCAGCCTCCTATCCAATAGGTACCTGGTGCTCTTTCCCCAGTTGTAAAGTAGACAGAGCATAAAGCTGACAGCTTGCCTCTGACTAGTGCCAAGGTCAAAGATACATGGATGTTACATCCACTCCCCCATATGTCTTCATGGCATAGTGCTTAATTAATTAAACACAGGGACAACTTTATCTTAGGAGGACTGTCCTGAATGGAGTTAGAAGTACATGTGTAATAAACTTAAAATTTATGAATGTACATGTATTATCCTAATGTTGGAATAAAATATTTTAATTACAAGAATACACACTGTTACAGCCAGAATTGTAAACATGTGACATAATCATAATGGTTTGCCAAAAATTTTCACTGTCTTGGCAGAAATGTGCACACAATGTAGGCCAATACACTACAATGAATTCTGTCATGAACAGGTTTCCTTTAAACAAATATATAACCATTTAGCTCAAAATAAAATTTTAGCATACTGAAATCTTAAAGCGGATAAAGCTAAGGCTACATTTGTGAGATTTGAGGTTCCCATGGCAGTGAGTATTGAGATTAAGTCTTCAGGGAATAGTTCAGTGGATGAGTACCAACATTTTGGAGGAATATGCTGCCATCACCTTCAAGGTCATCTACCAAACATCCCACGTGACCTTAATGTTAGTAGCTGTAGTTGTAAGCACAATGTGCTGTGAATCAGCCACAGTTAGTCAGGAGTTCAGACAGTCTTAGTTTCTTCACTACAACAATTATATTCGATACCACCCAGGAAAATGCTACTAACCATCTCACCACACAGAAATATGTAAGATGAGTTAGCCTTAAAATGTTATTTCCAGGTTAGGGGATGTCCTGGATATATGCGGAGAAGAGAAAAGGCTTCGATGGTCAGGCACCACTCAACTTCTGCATCTTTCACTCTATGTACAAATAATAAAAGTAAATGTTTTATTTCATTATAAGTAAACTCTCTATATTATTATGTACAATTACATAACCAAAAATAGTTCAGATCTCAAATGTCTCATAAAAGCATGAAAAATGAATCGACAGATCTTTACAGCAGATCTGTGACTGAAATTGGTATTTGTATCCCTTAAGCGAAGGTCTCTAATTCATATTTTGATAGAACCTTTATAGTGAATATGTGAGTGGCAAAACTGACAAAATTTCACATGTTTCTTAGCTTTTAACATTTTGCTATATTAATACTGATGATGATGATGATATCATGTTGGTAACTCCATTTCAGAACAGTGCTGGAGATTTAAAGGGGGAAAACGATAAATCTAATATCAACACAGGCTGTACGAATATATAACTTTGCATAAAGTACATCAATCACATAGCTACATTACAGGCAACACATTTAGAAAATCCATATTCGTGAATCAAGAGTATATTAACAGTTCAATATACTAGCACATACTTCCACTTTATTCGATATGAAACAACATATCAGGATTTATTTTGGTTAGAGCATAAAACTATAAATAACCACTGACAATATTTTTCTAGTCAAAATGTTACAATTATCTTTATGACACAAATGTGTACTTTAATTGCTCACAGACACACAGCAAAACACAATCACTTGCACTGTTTCTTAAACAGAAAGCTGATGTCTCTATATTTATCCAGAATCAGCCCAAGTCTTAACTTTTACACTATTGCAAATAAAAATAGGTCTTCACACACTGACAACTGAACTTAACATTTAAAACATGTCTTCACCTGTGTGAAAAAAAATGAAAATGGAGGGAAAAAAGGTTTCCAAGTGCTCTGATATATATATATATATATGATTGCTTCATAAGAAGTAAGGTTGAAAGGATGATAATTGTTTTGCTTACTTTCAGAAGAAGCACTGTACAAATCAAAAATGCATTCGCTGGTTGTGATATGCAAGTCACATATGTTAATGTCCTGTTTCATTCTGTTTTCTGTGTGACAGGTGGAAATTCACTTTCATCATCAAAACGGAATCCTCCCTTTGGTGGGGACTCTGTTGCTGCTGCCATCTCATGGAATTTCTCTGATTCTATAAACATAACCAATGAAAAAATGCACTAAGTCTATATACAAATAACATAAAAATCACAAAGATGACTGGAAAGGAAAAGTCATGTTTCAAGAATTTATAACATGAGAACTGATATGAAAGCTATGCCTTTTTACTACTAGACTACAATATTACTAAAATTATATTCCATTATCCAAATATGTATACCTGAGTCATTATCAGGAAAATGTCAAACTCTGAAGGAAATGAATCTGTAAAAACTGTATATTTAACTTGCCTGCCTTTTAATTCACCCAATGACAAATGAGACAAAAACGGTAACTTCAATTTGTTACATTACACTGAATTCCCTTATTGATAAAAGGACTTGTCTTTGTCACTGATCTGACATTCTAGATCATCAAGCAATATGCATGAAAGATACCAAAGGCTGTGGATTTATGTGATAATGTTGTTTAAAAAATAATGTATCACTTATGCACATCCTGCATTTTTAATGGAGAAATAGAGAGATGCACGCCTTTTATTATTGTATATGCCAGGTACTGCAGGAACAAATGTGTGTCATCACTAGTTGGTGATGTACATTATCATACCATCAGTAGAAAGTTACCAGATTCTATTTTCATCATATTTCCACTATTTCACATGCACAGACACAGAGATCCTGCATGAAGTTAAATGTACCCTGCTTCATGGAGTGTTTTTATTTAAGAACAGGACCACAGATAATGCCCAACATGTTCTTAAAAAAAAAAAAAAAAACACGATAGACAATGTCCAGAAAGTCAATGTAATTGTATTAAAATACCATCATCACAAATTAAAAAAGTAGAGCTGTGTTGCCACCTTGGGTTCTCAATTACAGGGCACTCCATATCTTTCTCCCTTAGATCAATAATAAGTGTATGCTGTACAAATCTTTAAATATAATTTTGTGTGTATCACTTTTGGATGTTCTACAAAATCATTCTGGACTCCCCTGATAACTGGAATTAGTTACTAATTACAATTAGTATTACATTCAGATAAAACTTTTTGCAATCATTTTACGCATCTAATATACTGAAAGCTTTCGTTATTTGGAACTAGAGTCATTATATTATATTATATTACCATTATATTCATATGCTACTCAAAAATGTAATATACAGTCAACTCCCCCATTACCTGGCAGGTATGGGGAACAGAGCCTAATGTGTATGTGAATCTGTTGGTTGCATGAGGAAAGCTCTTATAGATAACCAATACAGAGTCAAAATAACACATTTTTCCTTTAGTTCTTGCCTTGGAGTCTTCCTAGGCAACACGGATTTATGGGTGACGATTTTGGTACATATAAGGTGAGGACACACAAAGGAAACTGGCAACCGCAATGCAGCCACATTTCTGAGAACTGTTATCAGCCTGAGTTGAACAAATGTTACTGAATGGAGCAGTGAAAATTGAGGAAACTGTGTTGCTGTTTCCTCAATTCATGCTGCTCCATTCAGTAACATGTGTTCAACTCAGGCTGATAACAGTTCTCGGAAATTGCAGTTGTGTTGTGTTTTCCAGTTTCCTTGGTGTGCCCTCACCCATACTGTAATATGATCACAATTTAATTTCATTTAGTGGGGGGTGGAGTCCACCTGAGTCCACTCAGCACGGTGGCCACTGATTAGCATACTGTACCTGCCCAGGTGATTATGATGATGGAGAATTTGGTGGAATGAAGATTGGCAGGGGAAACCAAAGTACTCGGAGAAAACCTGCCCCAGTGCCACTTTGTCCACCACAAATCCCACTTGACCAGACCCAAGATCAAAACCGGACCACTGCGGTGGGAAGCCAGTGACTAACCACATGAGCTATGGTGCGGCCTAATATGATCACAAACTGAACTAGCCCCTACTATAATGGAATCTGCATGAGGAAGGATGATGAGTAGTGCTCCTAGTGCTCACAAGAGATCTACCACATGGTGGGTGAACATATGCACATCACAAATTGTTTTTGAATACCTTTATAAAAACAGTAAATTTTCTTTGAAGTGTTTGCCAGTTGCATGAGAATTCTGGATGCTTGCATACTGGATAACTGGGAGTTTGCCTTAATAATATCTCAGGAATAAATTATGAAATGAGAGTACTATCAAAATATCAAGCTGCCAGAAATAGGGAATGTAACATTTTGCTTTTTAATTTAATAATACAGAAATAAATGTAAAAAGGTCACAATCTAATCTAAGTAGACTGTTTAGCACAACACTTACAACTTAAAGTTTGTGATGATGGTACATTAGTATAGATATTATGTTTCTGGACATTATCCATCATCCTGTTTTTATCTAAACACCGTCCTGTTTATATTTCAAAACACAATGTTTCAGAAATTGGATTCCGCCTCCATCTTCAAGTAAAACCTACTCAGTTGGGCCCAATCGATAGAACTAGTCCCTGTCCCTGGGTCCAGAGATAGGGACTAGCTCAGCAGCCTCCGTAGTCTAGAGGTAACGTTCCCACCTCATGACTCGTAGTACGCGGGTTCAAATACCTGGCGGAGGTCGTCGAATTTTTAAGGGCGGAAAAATTCAGGGAACAAGTCCTCCAGGAGGAACTTTAAGCTGTGGGTCCCGTATCATAGCTTTACGGTATGTAAAAGAACCTCATATCTCCAAAGGAGGTCACTGAGCCAAATTACGTACGTTTCCCACCCAACAGCAGTCTCTAATACCTCTGGTAGATGGGGGAAGCATTATAGATACCTCTCATCTAGCAGAGCCGGTCTTGCTGGCTGGGTGGGACTCATGGTAAGCATCAGTACCGGTAGGATATAGAGACTGGTAGAAATCATAGAGGGAAGCACAATGGACCAATACAGGTCTAAGTGCATGGGGAAACCCATCCTCTCCAATAACTAACTAACTAGGGACTAGCTCTACTGATTTGGCCCAACTGAGTAGGTTTTACCTGAAGACTGAGACAGAAGCCAGTTTCTGAAACATAAACAGGACAATGAGTAATGTCCAGAAGCATAATAATTGTACAACACTCATGACATATCTCCTCCTCCTCCTCTTCACTTATGGTTTGTCACAAATAGGCTAATAATATGTAATTTATGTACACAGTAAAATACTATCTCCCTGGAAAATTTTCACTAATTACTTACTATAATTTAAGAGAAAATATTCCATGACTTTGATGCCAGAAAGTTTCATAACCAATGCTGCTTAATATGTTTCACTGGGGAGAATAAACTTTGTGTAACAGTGTAATAATTTATCTGGTGAAGTTCCTTTTATCATTGTTGCAGAAGTCGGAACACTATTTTATAGGAGCTGTGACTCCAGCATCATATACAGCACTGAACAACCTACTCTTCTTATAAGAAATGATAATAACTTCATTTTTGCTTACTTACTTACTCATGGAGCTGAGCCCTTCTGGAGTAGCCGTCAATTCTGCAGCTACTCAAGAATTTCCCAACATTTTATGGAACCCAAAGGTTCATTACCATGTTCACAAGAGCCCTCCACTGGTCTGTCCTGAGCCAGATCAATTCAATCCATACCATCCCATCCTACCTCTCTAAGATCCATTTTACTATTGTCCACCCACCTACGCCTTGGACTTCCCAGTGGTCTCTTTCCTTCTGGCTTTCCCACCAATATCTTATACACATTCGTCTCCCCCATTCATGCTAAATGCCCTGCCCACCTCATCCTCCTTGACTTGGTCATTCTAATTATACTTGAAGCAGAGTACAAGTTATGAAGCTCCTCATTCATTTTTGCTTACAGCAAAATATTATTACAGGTATTTCTTTCATAACACACATCACACATTAATGGTGGGGGCCATGAAATATGTTGTAAAAATCATCACAATCATGAATGTATGATAAGCATAATTCTTAATGTCTGTGGCATCATTTATCTTAAAAACAAAACTATGTTTGAAAAATGAAAATTTTAGAATATTCTGACAGTTTATACTTCTACCAACTGCATCAGGTGCAATAGCCTTCCATCATACCATGTCTGTAAAAATATATTTTGACAAATGATAACTGCAAAAGCTTTAATTTATGTCTACAGTTTCATGATGGAATCTTTAATCTTTGTGGTTCATGTTTCACGTTCTGTATGAGATAGTGTTTCCTATGATGTTTAATAACACACTATGAAACACCTACGAGGTCAATGTAAAATATTTCCCTTCAGGTTAGGGCCTAAATCTGTAACCCTCTATTACTATGCTCTCAGTAGAAAACTGCAGATTCTGTATTTATCTAGGAACTTATAATAACTATAGGAGTAATGTGCATTTTTTTCGTTTTGCAGTAGTGCAGTAATAACATTATACAAAGCAGGTGGTGAAGCTTTAACTGCTAATACAAGTTTTGGTATCATTTACCTTAACCATGCATGTGAAAGCATTGACAATTATGCAACTGCCATAAAGAAAATAATAATGATAAGGTACAGCAAAGGCACAGTAGTAACACAATGAAATATCATCCAATAATGCAATAACATACAAGATCAAGTAGAAGCAGTTTAGACTGATTCAAAATACAACGTATTAAATTTAAATTCACAGCCTATGTACAAAATAGATACAGATATTTCTCAATTTTGTAGTCATTTTCATTTAGGACAGATTTTTCGTCCAAAGCTAATTAAATATAATTAAATTGCCTAAACTTTCAATAAATTCCATACTTTTCCAATCATTGAGCCTGCTTTATTTTCTCTTAGTTCATACTGATTTATGTTTATGGCAGTATGCATATAGTTCTGGCATATATTTTATTACATTTGAAGCATATAATTTAGACAAATACTGAGATCATCATTTACCAGCATTCCTGTGCAGAGAAATTCTCAAAAAATTTGCCACTGTCACCACTAACTTTCATTTCCATTTAGACTATATGATCTACACTGAGTCATGCACATTCAATATATGCATATTGAGGGGCATGTGGCATTTAAAAATAAAACATGATCATAGCAGAAATTCTATCTAGTGAAAACACACACTCCAAGCTTTGCTTACTGTGACACTGTGGAAGCTTCATTGATAAACAGAGTTTCTTACTGCCATGTCGGCAAGCTCAAAGCTAGAATGGTTGAATGAACTGAACTGTTCTTCTGAACATCCACTGCAAAGTCGTTATCTTCTACAGACTATGAAATCATCACTAACACCCAAAACATTGATGCAACTCAAGTGGCAGATACTGTGAATACTGTATAATTATGTAGTTTTCAATACTATCCCAACAATGGGTCCTAGATTTTAGTTTTAGATTAGGCATGTTTTCTGAAAAATGTTTTGACATACCAATTTGTTTCTCTGGTCATTACTTTTGCGATGTCTGGTATACAAAACAACTCAAAATATTCCAGGGGGTTACTAGGGGTCTTCTAAATCAACATTTATGCCAGGCTTGCCAGTGAACAGAAAACATGGTCACTCAGCACCTAAATTTACCCATATGTCAGGGTGCATGCTACTGTTGTCACTGACATTTTCTGCTTCATCAGAGCTGACACTTAATTCACAACCTGATGAAGTTTTCACATTTATTTCACTATCACTACTATATTCACTCTCTGAAATATCACTGTATTCATTCTCTTGTCACGTCATAAAACACCTCCTTATCACTTACATGCATCTTCTTGCTAGGACCTGCCATAATGTTGAGAGAATTTGAACCCAGGACAGCTATCAAGCAATCAACAACTTCCTGTCACACTCTGAAGTAACCAGAATATCATGCAAGCATAATGCACAAGTTTGCATTTCTGACTGGCATTATATCTACATCAGAGTAGTTAGAAACATGTGTGATGTCTATAGGCATCATACCCACTACAATACACAGTACTGCGGGACGTTTATAGATGTCATAACCACCTGACTAGTTAAGACAATTATTTAACTTTACTGAACATTGTTCCTTGTCTCTACTTACAAGCATGCTTCTGCTTACTAGAGTTACAATATAAAGACTTCAAATTTCGACTTAAAGGTTGCCCAGTATCCAGAAACATAAACTCTAAATCACTTATGGCTTAAAGCAAATGTGCACAATACAACGAAACCAAATCTCAATTATGAAAATATGAGATCAAGAAAATAAGATAGAAACTACTCTCATAAAACTAACATGAAATCAAGTCTGATATGTGCAGTGTGGTTCCAAGGATAAAAGGGTTCAGTCATTAAAAGTATTATACAGTGCTGATCTCTATGTATCAGGTACATACCAAGATAGAGATAGAACATTTGGCAACTGTGCTAGGGCATGGCCTCTCCTCTGTGGGCATCCATTGCAAGGATACTGTCCCTTTGGAGCACACAACTCTCATACTTAATTCTAACTCAATAATGCACAAGACCGATAATGCAGGTTAGAACTCTTCAAAATTGATGTTTCCCATACTCAGGGCACACCAAACACCAACTTTATCCACATGGAATGGAACTGTGTGTATGAGATGGGGATTTCTTGTGCTCCAGCATCAGTTATTTTGTATCCATTCACACTTGATTCTGAGCTAATTTGTGGGAGGGGGTTATCAGGACACAGGAACATAACATGATTCCACATCTCGTACATGATGTTCTGCCCTGTGATGAAGTTGATATTTTGTATGCTCTGAGTGTGAGAATGATTATGGACTTTGCATTCCAAGCAAGGACAGTTAGTTCAGAGAAATGCTGCACTACAGGATACTGGACCACTGTCCTTCAGTCTATAATTTTCTGGCCACAGCTGATTAAGTAGTAGAAGAGGCAGCAATACATGCAGTGAGCACACACAGCAGAAAGGTCATGCCTTCATACAGTAGCCAAATAATCTCACTGTATTTACTTGGCGTAGGACTAGAAATTTTATTGTTATTCCGTGATTATATAGATTACAACTCATCTTGGTTACAGTGGTATCTTGTGCTGCTAAAGTAACTACTGAGCAGATAAGTGTTATTTTTCTACCATTTAGTAACCTCCATATATCTTAAAAATTATGCTGTATCCATTTAGTATCTATATACATATTTGAAAATATTTTTAATTTGGCAGATGTAGAAATCTGAAGATAATTCATGAAATGTATGTTATTACATTATTTTTAAGTTACATAGTGACGATATGCTCCAGACATACCAACAGTACCTGACATGGAGCCCGGAGAGCAGCCTTTCAATATTCCAGCGTAGCTATTTATGGAGCCTGGAGAAGACGGCAACAAAACAAAACACGATGTGTCAGTTTACAACTGGGTCAGGATATGGAGATATAGGAAAGGTATGGTACAGTGCCATGTTTTCTATCTGAAAAATATCAGAGTTTTAAATTTAATTCAGACTTTAAACTCTTACTGACAGATTTCAATAAAGTGTAAATTTTTGTAAATATGTCAGTGCTTTCAGATATATATTAATATTCATAATCTAAGATAGGGGGATTTTTGTCCCCCAATATTACAGCTGGTGGCCAAGATTTTCATTCAGGGGATAATGGTATTTGTAATGAAAATATGCAACACCTGGCCAGTTGGACTGCATGCATATACAATTACAATAGTGCAACATGTGACTACTGAAGGTATTACATATCAGAAACAACAATTATCTTGAAGGTTTTAAAATGAGAATGGCAAATGCATGTCAAGTATTTTTGAAGGCATTCTTTGTTATTTTGCATCATTAATTCATACTATGTTCATTTACTATTCATACAAATCTATGGCTAACAACTAATCAACCATAGTGACAATATGATACATAGAAGTATAAATTACTTGTATTTCTATTATAATAACATAGACCTTAATGAGATCTATAGTTCATGTTATGTACATATTCTTTCCACAGGTTTGATAAATTTTATTTCAGCTTCATGCCAAGTAGGGGACTGTCATGGCTAAAATGGTCCAAAATTAAATCCTCTTGACAGCTTTTACTGTAACTTCCAATACAGAATTTCAGTGAAATCACTTAAACCCCTCACCATGTAACAATTTTGTGCACATCATGGAAAGCACCATAAAAAACAAAACTACATAACATTCCATTACTGGTTTAGATGTTATAAACCATAAGGAAATGCAGTCTAGCTTATGCAGCTAGACTGCATAAGCATTATTCTTATAATGATCTGAAGCGTCAGAAGTCATTACTTAAAATGAAAACTTCACCCACTGGTGTAAGTAATTTTACGCAAGGGCACAGTAGTGTATAAACACTGAGGTTCTAACAGCAAAGAGTGTTCTATTTATGGTCTTTTAATATGTGACACCATGTACTTTGGTGGCTAGGTACCAAACTAAATTGGATCACATCCCAGAGGACGATAATTGCAGCAGTGTAGTTCACAGAGTAAGAAGTCAGTCAGATTAGGTATTCTCATCACAGCCAGTAATTTCTGTTCAGAGGTTTTAGTAATTTTTCTATTTTCACTCACATGGCAAAAAAAATTTGTTTATGAACTCGGTTACTTGCAAATACTGACATCAGCTAACCACTGGTATGAGATTCTAAGACTGCAGGAATCGTATACATTGACAGTACTACACAAATCCAAGTTCACTTTTATAAACAACTTAAAGACATCACAAATGGTATATTTTAAAACAATGTTAATACATCCTCAATATAATAAAAGAGACACAACACTCTGAGCAAATGTTTGGGCTATACTTCAAAACATTTTTAAGAAATTTAATTTTGAGACCCATTTCTAAGGTACATGTAAAATGGGAAAAGGCCTGATCAGTTACATAAGAATCAACATTCGAATTGACATTAACCATTTGAAGTGTGAAATTTATTTAAATGATATTAAGAAATTAAGTTTGTATCTCACAGAATGCACAAATCACCTCTATTACAAAGATTAATCAGTTAATACCATTTAGGGAACCAATCACTATTTATGGTGACAATCATACAAATCCCATAAATACACTTGTGTGGCAAAAGTTCAGTATTTTGAACATTACAGGATGTGGTACATGTAGTAATGACTGCTTTAAAGGATTAATACAAATTTCATATCATGCTACTCAGTAAAAATCTTTGTGCAGTAACTGGTACTAAATTTTGTATATACAAAAATGACATTTTATTTACAATATTGTTTCTGCATGTGGAACCAATTTTTTCCTTCACACTGAAATAGTTTAAGGAACAGAAAAGAATAAGAAAATAATCTGTTACACTCTTTGACAGAAGTCACAAATTCATGAAAGAGAGTCTTATATGTTCCAGTTCAGAAAAATCTCATGCTGGGCAATATGGTAGAACCTCTATTAATCAAACTTCAGTTATCTTATATTCCATGTTATCTGACTTGAGTACCCACAGAAAACAGTGATATGAGTAATGGTGAGAATGGAATATGCATGTGCACATGCTGCTGTGCATCTCCTTTTTTGCCTCGATGACACAATTAGTGCTAGTTCATTAGAAACTGTGAGTGCAAGTTGTGTTTTATGTTAATGACATTATATGTGAAAATAAAGTGCAATTAATTATTAAGTTCATTTAAGTACACATTTCATTATTATTTATTTATTTAACTTTTTTCTTTTATTTGTTTCATTCTGGTCCATAACACTAACAATATCATAAAGGATAAAACAATTCCATCCAGTGTGACTGTTGAAATTTTTACTACTTCAATTCTTAACACCCTTTCATGTTTCGGTCCCTATAGACCATCATCAGAGGGACATCGATACTCTTTGGAAACCACTATTACAATAGGTGTTCTGAGTGTTAAAATACATACACATACAATGTTTGTAATGCACAATATATACAAAATCTAAAGTTTTCACAACTACAGCGGCCATCTTGGTATATTAAAGTTTTTAAAAAACTTTTGTTATTTAAGTTAAAATTTATAAACCAAGTAGGTTCATGTCCCTTCTCTTTTGGCCTTTCTTTAAACTTTAATGTACCAAGACGGCCGCTGTAGTTGTGAACACTTTAGATTTTGTATATGTTGTGCATTACAAACATTGTATGTGTATGTATTTTAACACTCAGAACACCTATTGTATTAGTGGTTTCCAAAGAGTATCGATGTCCCTCTGATGATGGTCTATAGGGACTGAAACATGTAAGGGTGTTAAGAATTGAAGTAGTAAAAACTTCAACAGTCACACCGGACAGAACTGTTTTATCCTTTATAATTTATTTAACTGTTATAGCAAGTGTAAGAAGGAAGAGAGCTGTTCTGTCAATGGAACAAAGACTGGAAGCTATGGAAAACCATGATAGTGCAAAAGGTTTCTGCAGACTGTGGAGAGGGCATGTTACTATTGGCGATTGGAAGAGAAAAGTGGTGCTCTACTGGGGCTTCAAATAAGGGACTAAAAGAAAGAACAACTATAAATAAACGCAGGTCTGAAAAGATTAGTTAAGCGTTATACCTATGGGTCATACAACAATGAGAAAAGGGCATGTCAATCACAGGCCCTCTACTGCAAGAAAAAGTGTTGCATTTCCAGAAGGAATTTAATGAAAGAAGGCCTGATTTTACAATTAGTGCAGAATAGCTAAATTGTTGGAAATGATGTTATGGAGTGGCAAAAAATTATCAGTGCAATCAAAGTCATTTTCAAAATCCAAAGAAGAATTTCAGTCTATAATAGTGGGAAGGTTATCACATGAGTAGATCCACTACTGCAATGAAACAGGCCTGAATTACCTATGATTCCTTCAAAAACTCTTTGCTTCCAACACAGAATCTTTAGCTCCTGGTTAAAAGTGAAGTAAAGAAAGAGTTAACAATTCTCGCTGCAGGTAACCACTAGCTTGAACTTGCCTTGGAAAAGTCCAAAAAACTGAGGGCTTTCAAAAATCATCATTGCAGTTTGATATGAACCAAAACAGTGTGTGGATGAGTTCTGATATCTTCTGAGAATGTTCTTTACAGAATTTATTCCATCAATGAAATTTTTTCAGTTGAAAAACTTGCCAAAAAACCAATCCTTGTCATCGACAATGCATCATCAAATCCCAAAGAGGAACTGAAGAATGGAGAAATAAAGGCTGCTTTTCTGCCACCTAACATCTCACTGTCAAACCTATGTATCAGGGTATGAGTGAAGTGTTGAAAAAGAAATATTGTTGCAAGCTTCTATGTTGCTATATTAGAAAAAATTAACATTAAAGTTGTGGTTTACTGGTTTACAAGGGAAGAAACTGAAAAAATAACCTGGAAAAATCATGGTGAAAACTGCTGCTGGTAATGAATATGACTGTATCAGCAATACAATGCAAGAAAACTGACACTCCTGTGCTTTTGTTACATCTGATTCCAGGCAGTCAAAATGTGAACAATGAAGAGGGACAGGGATGGAAGAATGAAGATAAGCAACAAGCGCTAACAGTGATACACTATTAATTGCAAATCATGATGATGCAATGATACTGTTGCTAATGATGGTGCAGTAGAGGTAGCAGATGAATCACAGTAAGGAAGTAAAAACTGTCGAGACAACACTTGTTTCCATGGAACAACGAAGGAAGGTGACAGGGACAGTAGTGAGACACTGCCACAAGGAAGAGGATGAAACAATGAAGACAAATTTTAATCACAGACTTCTTTACACAATGCACTTCAAGATTTTACTGTGTATGTATAACTTTTCAATTCATAAAAGTATATTTATGCATTTCTTTTTGATATTGTTACCAGCTAAATATTATTTATATTCTAGTCTTTCATAATGCAATTGTAAAACAACCTGTGAAATCAAAAACTAATAAAAATACTAGAAAACACAAAAGAGATAATACACATTCAATGGATACCATCACATGCGGCATCAATGGAAACGATACTGCTGATGAACTGGCAAAGAAGGGCAAAGACTGAATCACCAAAATAACATCTTAAATGCCCACACGCTAGCTAACAAAATCAAAACTAAAACAAGTAAAGAAATACTCCATACCATCAACAAACAACCACAAAACAAGAAATGGTCAGAAATAGGAAAACTATGGGAAATTAACAACAAGAAACCCAGAAAAGAAGCTGCTGCAAATTTTCGATTGAATACAGGACATGACTGCCTTGCAGCACACCTTTGTAAGATAGGAATATATAATACAGAAGAATGTATACTGTGCAACTTGCCAGGATCATCTATGGGAAAAGAACACCTCCATCAATGCCCTAATCTTAAGAAGGAGATGCAACAAAGCAAGAACTTG